GTTGATCCTTAGGTTCAAAGACCACAAAAAAAAATGTCAGCTTCCAACTCTTCCATCTTCGGTCCCCACCGGCCACGCCCATATTTTATTGGTTTCTTATACAGGTAAAATATCTAAAATCGGCTTTTTTAGTATGAAGGAGTAATGTTAGCTGTTTAAGATTCGTTATTCAAATATAAATGTCATGAAGGCATTTCGTTTAATGTGGGTTTTAAGTTCTGATGATGTTGAGAACCACGCCCTTGGATGGCCACGCCTATTTAAGAAAATTAAATTTCGGGAAACCGTATTATTTTAGTTTTATTGTCTAATGATCTGAATTTTTTTCACATTTCACATTTCCATATGTGATAGTAGTGAATAAATTGATGATATAAACGTTCTAAAGTGCTAAAAATATGGTAGAACTACATAATCTCTGGTCGAAAAATATCGTGTCAATTAATGTCAGTATTCCAAAATTTTGCAAAACTGACATTGACATTAATTGACATTAATTGACATTAATTGACATTAATTGACATTAATTGACATTAATTGACGTTGCATTCCCCCCTACCCGACAGAACTACCCCTACACCCTAGATCCTTTATTAGAAAGCGGTTCTCTGTCATCGCTTTTTCTTTCAGGGCAAATTAAAATTGTCCGATATTTCAATTAAAATAGATCAAATCAAAGTATTCAAGCCCTTTTGGAAATTTCTCCCAATAACGTCTAGATAATTTTTAGGTATTTAAGCATCGCCACTCTTACAACACAATCATTTTTTGTCAATCTGGTAACTTTTTGTACTATTTAACGGCCAGGCTAGTTGTCGGTTGGCAGTGTGCTTATCAACACTAGTCACAAACAGTAAAATAATTCTACCCTTTATACGTACAACTATAAACTATTATATAATATATATATATTTGAGACATTCAGTGAAACAGTAAAACACGAAATTCACATTAAGCTATCGATTGTGTAATCTTTACATGTCTCATTCTGAAAGCAAGTTTATTAAAATAACTGTTCTATGAAGTAAATTAAAAACATGACAAAAATAGATCAATACTGAGATGGGAAATTTGTGAGTAAGTCTCATTCAATCATAAGATATAAACAAAAGATGCAGAGGTGAAAGTAAACATCAAAATGCAAGTGTCTGTGGAAAGATTAATATTAAAACATATCATATATATGTATAATTCCTTCTTGGACAGTAGACCTAAAATAAGATTAAAGAGTATCGTTTTTTGTAATAGTTTCCACTTGCAAGTTGCTGTGTAGGGGAATATACCGTATAGATAATTGTGGTCACCATGGATCAAACGCCAACTTAATTTCGGAGCTTAACTTCATTAATAGACTTGGATGTGAGCCACTATTTATAGGGAGGCATTCACATGAAGTTTTATACCGTATAATCAGCCCCAAAATAAGACTATAAATTATAGTAAATAATAAATATAGCCTTATTTTGGGGCTGGTCGTACACCAATCCCATTTGTACGTCAAGTTAGACTACAAGTGTCTCAATAGTTAGTAGATCAGTTTAAGTGTTTAGATGGGAAGAGCACGCTGTACCGGGTACCCCCTAGCAATAGCTGTATCCCCTAGCAATAGCTGTATCCCCTAGCAATAGCTGTATCCCCTAGCAATAGATGTATCCCCTAGCAATAGCTGTACCCCTAGCAATAGCTGTATCCCCTAGCAATAGCTGTATCCCTAGCAATAGCTGTATCCCTAGCAATAGCTGTATCCCCTAGCAATAGATGTATCCCCTAGCAATAGCTGTACCCCTAGCAATAGCTGTATCCCCTAGCAATAGCTGTATCCCCTAGCAATAGCTGTATCCCCTAGCAATAGCTGTACCCCTAGCAATAGCTGTATCTCCTAGCAATAGCTGTATCCCCTAGCAATAGCTGTATCCCCTAGCAATAGCTGTATCCCCTAGCAATAGCTGTATCCCCTAGCAATAGCTGTACCCCCTAGCAATAGCTGTACCCCCTAGCAATAGCTGTACCCCTAGCAATAGCTGTATCCCCTAGCAATAGTTGTATCCCTAGCAATAGCTGTATCCCCTAGCAATAGATGTATCCCCTAGCAATAGCTGTATCCCCTAGCAATAGCTGTATCCCTAGCAATAGCTGTATCCCCTAGCAATAGCTGTATCTCCTAGCAATAGCTGTATCCCCTAGCAACAGCTGTCCCTTTTCAGCGATTGAGAGTTCCACTTGATCATTAGAAATGCATATTAGGAGGCTGAAATAATATTTGTTGGTTTCTTTAAATTATCGAAGCCCACCGTGAAATGTTCAACTTAAATGAAAGATCCAAGTTATGTTTATTGATCATTTGTCCTATTTCCGTTTAAGAACAACGTAGTTTACTCTTCTTTGTTCTTATTCTTAATATTTAAGCTGTGAGACTGAGGCCACTATCTTTTATAGTGGCCTTAATTCTATTCTAATATCTCGTTTAAGCTGTATAATACAATGAAACAATTTTGCCGAATATGCATGGTGAACGGATAATGGATATGTGCTTACATCGGCTGTGGTGAACCGTGAAATCATTTGGTAAATCTATCAATTGTTAAACGTATTTGCACATAGAGAGTTCCTCAAGTCTCGACCTGTAAAATAGCTAGTTAACCATCCCTTTGCAAAGTATTTCATCGATATTTAACAAAGTTAAGATTAAATGAAATTTGATAAGTATTGATGTAATACTTTCCACACAGTTCATGTATTTTATTCGCAAAACTCAGATAAAATCCATGAACCGCGTTGGGAGTAATTATATAGGTCAATCAGATTTCAATTAATCGTTTAATTAGATTTGGTTGAGTATGTGATCACTGTACTAACCTTTATTATACCTACATGCATTGTATGGTATCTGCTTCTTTTAAGTTTAGTGTGGTTTACAATAAAAGATGTTTTAATTTTGTCTTAGCCTTATAGGTATTGATTTATACCCTCCTAATTGATGGTTAATCATATATGAGCGGGATATAAATACCTCATTTCATTTCATTGTTATAAATTTGAAAGTTGCGACACTCAATGGTGGTGTACAGGATATAGTAATACTTCTCAACAGTCAACTATTTGTTACACGGAGTCCGGTGAATTGTTTCTTTATTGTTGTCGTACGTTTGGTGCATATACCCTTTTTAAATTGTATTCAACCAGTACTGGTTGTGTAAAATCCGGATTGGAATATTATTTATGATTCGCATAGTTGTAATGTTTTCTTGTATTGGGTAAATTTCGATTGATCCCGTTTGGTGCGACAAGGAAAAGGCTCTTATCAGGAAAGGAATTATTCCTTTCCTGATAAGAGCCTTTTGCTTGTCGCACCAAACGGGATTAGTATAAATTTACCCAAGAAATCAGTAGTTGTTGTATAATATTCCCAGTATTATTGAATTAAATTTTTCTGCATAGTGTACATTCGAGAATATATTCTTATATTGGATGCATTGGTATTTTCTATTACCAAAGCAGAACCAGGTATACCCTGACAACAGGCAGCATACGAATAATTACTGCTAATTTGGCGAAACCAACTGCAATCAGTTATAAGAATAGATAATAATATGTATACCAGCCTACTTAATGTGATAAGCAGTAAAAAGTTTATCAGATACAATAATCAGCATATCTTAATCATCGCTTTATTACTCTGCTTAAATTGCAATAAGCAGTTAGTTAGCTGACTGTTGCTAAGCACCGTGCTTCTGTTGCTGACTGTTGCTAAGCACCGTGCTTCTACTACTAGAAACTTCCAGCACAACTGTAAATCTGTCGTACTAATAATAAAATGTATAATCAGGTTAATAATTTCATTTTCTTGAGACTGTGTCCGAAAATTCGACACTAAGGCCAATAAGCTAATTATGCTAATAGTTACGCTGCCATCTGAATCATGTCTCAGTTATAATAGCTCTCCGTTAGTCTTGGTAATCCAGACGTGAGACGTGCCACGTCTCCTGAGACGAAACAAACGGTAGCAGACCATTGAGCTCGTTCTCGCTCTGATTGTCACTTATTGTCACTTATATTTATTGTCCTTGGTACACTTTTCCCTCAGCTTTATGCATGTACTTGATAGTTGATATCACGCCGATCCAGTTAGCTGGCTTTTTGTCTCTCACATGTTCCAGTGTAACGTGAGCACTGTCAGTTTACTTTTACTTAAAAACAACTTATCAAGGACGTGATGTTTCGCGGAACGTAGAAACCTTGAAACAAGGTCTCTTTCTATATCTCCTTCATCGCGACTTGATTTCAAAGACAGTTCGCTTATTTTTATGGTATACAAAATATTTACTGATCTTCTTTCAGTTTTTCGCTGTCCGTACTCTGTGTATTGCCGTTTTCCAAAACGTCAGCAGAATATAAGAATATAACCTAACTTAGAGAGTAGAGACGCATTACATCAGTCTCATATTGTCGCCCGATCACGTACGAACACCTACATGAACACCTACTCATTCGTTGTTTGATTGAAATGATCTCTACAATGCTTAATGCTTATTATCACAAGTTGAATAAACCATTATTTTCAAGGATTTTCACCATCAATTAAGCCATCTCGAGCCTCGCGTTCGAAGAATGAATAAACACAATTAGTTTGTCAATAGATGTTTATTGTTTTATGGGTGTTTACGTGTCACGGGGGCAGTTTTAATAGCCGAAAGATATGCAATATGGGCGGTTTTAAACGGCACGTTACATTTGATGACGACGAGCTTTAAAGCAAAGATTTGCTTCAGACTTATATATAGGTCTGACTTTCAATTATGCGTGATGCCATGATGCTTTGTTTCTTCAATTGATTCACAAAGCAAACGTCAAATAAAATCGGTCTGCGATATGATTATGAAGAAAGAAACAGTCTCAATGTTTGTCGTCTTGGGTTTTACTGTTCCATCTCATTCTCAAGCAATATCTTTTCTATATCTAAGCCGCATTTTCTTTTACCATTTTTAAACTAGTTTATCTAAGGAAGATATAAAGATGACGGAGCAAGGGGCCGACAGTAATGGCACTTGCAACATCTATGACTTCGCCTGCAAATCCGGGCAAACGTTAATGTCCTGCACTGAAATTAACCCTCGCACTCTGGATATGGCCATTCTCAGCACCTCCATCGTAAGTATTTACCTACATTTACTTACCACTTTGTTATCTAGAGACTATAACCATATTATGATACTGATAGTTGACACTATTCTGAACATTGTAGACAAACCTCCCTCCTGCAGGTGATCGGTGGAACTATACTATTCCTGAATCTAGTCATTCTGTGGACGGCTCGAAAGAAGCACTGCAGAACCCCGATTAACGGTTTGGTCTACGGCCTCTGTGTGGAGGATCTATTGACAGCCCTCATTATCATTCCTTTATTCATCGCTTCTTTTAAGTCAGATCAGTAAGTTAAACTCTCTATACACTATAGTTACAGCTTAAATTCTCTCTTTCTATAAATAGTTACAGTATTATATTGTGAAGGCGTTAACCTTTGAAGTGGGAGTCATTAGAGGTTACAGAGATTTAGAATTTTGTGGAGACCTTATATTCGGTTATCGGTACCACCTGCTGACTTCTTCTTTATTTTTACTCTACCGCTAAATTGTTACATCCCAATACCGCTTCTTAGGTGTAGCTGTTATAAGACTTAAACCCTAAATTGTTTAATATTATGTTTCCAACATATGTAAGGACAAATAAGATAATTTAATAAATAGTATTGATGAATAAAAACTGAGTGTTAATTCACTTTGATAATGCAAGCCATAAATTAATTACAGATTATGAATTATCCAATATGTTGTCAAGTTTGTTAAAATGAAGCCGAATTAACACATCTTTAATCGGATTAAAACTTTGGTCTGCTCATGACGTATTAAACTTAAAGTCGCAAAGCGATTGTATAGTTTATAGAATAATTATATAATTATACAGTAATATTAATTAAATAATAATAATTATAAATATATTATAATTACAATTGTTTCTCCCCAGAATATTCCTGAGTCCGTTGTGTAATCTGTACGGGCTGTCAGTGGTGTTTGTGAGCATGGCCTCTGGATCTACAGTCTGTCTTATCAGCATCCTCCAGACATATGCTTATTTGAGACCCCTGGCTTTCAGATGTCACATCAGAACCTATACAGTCAGGATATCTTCCTTTGTAAGGTGGGTTGTCCTGTGTTATTGGTCCTTATAGTGCTGGTGGTTATTGTATTATCATGCTTTTAAAAAATATTATTTCTTATATTAAATTAATTAATTAATTTAATTTTTTAATTTTTTAATTTTTTAATTTTTTAATTTTTTAATTTTTTAATTTTTAATTTTTTAATTTTTTACTCATTGCTAATATCTACATGTTGTCTTCACTTGAAATTCCAATTAATCTCAATTAAACACTTTCGCAAAGATACATTCCGATAACCTGATATAACCACTGTAATACCCTCTACAGGTACATGCTGATGTTTGTGTTTGTCTTACCTTGTATGGTGAAGCAGGACTTCTTCTTCCAGTACGACACCTCCGGACACATGTGTACCTGGAACTTTAACGGTCATATCGACGCGTCAGGCTTTAACTACATCCAGGTTTTTTACTATTTTTTTTCTTTGTATTTTCTTGCTGTCTAATCTACCTTGTTTTTCGTATTCAGGGTTACATATTTGCATTGTTGTATGTCTGAATGTGAATATTATGATTTTATCTTGGGAAATGTTTGGAAGCTTTATTTGCACAGAACTCGGCTCGCTGGGCATTTCTACGGATTCGACTCCCGACATTTATCACAAATTTATAATGTTTTGGTTGGCGATCGCAGTCTTCAATCGCCTGTAAAATTTGACTAATTATTTATAGAGCCCTGATCCTGCCCGACACCACCAAAACGCGTATCGATTACTCATAGTCTTACTGCGTGCAAATTATTTGAACATGGAACAGGTCACCCGTATAATTGTATTTCACAAATAAAATGTGCACACATTTTTTCACTGTATTATTTGACCATGGAACTACACCCATGTAGTATGAATAGAGGGCAAAAAAATAAAATGAAACAATAGTTGAAACAATATCAAGTTGAAACAAAAGTTATACTGTCACAGTACATGGTCTGCCATTCTCTATAATATGGAGGTATTTTAGCTAAGAGTAAGGGAGACTCTGTCAAAGTGTAGAATTAAGGTATTAAATGTCATTGGTAGTTGTACAAGAACCTGGTATCTTCAAGATATCGAGAAAGGTCCCTATTATAAGGTCCATAAAAGTCCTGCAAGGCCTTCTTTGTTTGCGGAAGCATGTCACCTTCCTTAACTGCGCTTTTTCGTCGGCTGTTCTCCTTAATTGAATTTTGCAAAAAGTCTTCGAGTTGTTGACTCGTTGGTTGGGAAACTCCCAGAAAAGAAAATATCCTGGAGATTGTTGGGAAGGGATATAAACTGTAATCCTCTAACGAAACCACCAAGATGTTACCTCCGAAGACTTTTTTCCAGTCTCTTATAAAACAGATGTAGATACCAAGATTAAGTCTTAATTTGGGGTCGTTCTGTGAATCATAACAACAAGTCTTAAGATCTTGTGTCTCCAAACACTTATGAAACCTGTTCATCTCCTTGGTAACAGCCGCTTCAAATCCGTATGCTGTTACATTTGGATCATTCCCAATATTAAAGTATAAATAGTCAGAGTATAATCTCTGAACGGGGTCCCGAGTGATGACCAGAATCTTTGCTTCTGGAGTCAGCTCATTAAGCAGGTCCGCGTTAGTGTAAGGCGGCTGGTTTTGCCCTGAATATCGGGTCTCCCATCCCCTCAAGTCCCACAGCATGGACTGTGTACCATCTAGTAGCATCAGGTTGGTGTTTCCTTCCATTTTTTCAGGACCCAGCTTATTTAAAAAAGCTGAGAACTGTGTGGGGTCTGTGGTTCCCTTTGAAAGGTGGTTTGATGGTTTTCCTAGCCTTTTTCTTGCCCAGTAGTGGTTTTCTTTACCAGCGGTTGGTTGCACCAAATCTGGATGCCATACCAATTTTCGGTACAAGTCCGTGGAACCGCATTTTGGCATTCCAGCTAAATACACACTAGGCAAACAGAGAAGTTTAGAGTCTTCTTCTTCTCTCCAGCAGAAGCTTTTGTATTCGCTCAGGAACTGAGCTGGGAGGTGGTTAAAAACATCGGGTGATTCTCTTCTGAGTAGGTTTGTCAGATCTCTCTGATCGCTGTTGTCTGCTGTGAAGGTTGCAATTGTAGTTGTAAAACCAACGTTTCTAGCTGTGTTGATGAAATGAACGATCGTGATTGTAACTATTACGATCAGTATTATCTTCGCCTGCGGTGATATTTACTGGATAACTTAAACAGTTATATAGTGCTATCAGATGAAATAAGCCACTTCTGGAGTGATCTGGGTAGCTTGTTTTTCTCGGAGGCGGTGCACACTTGATATCAATCGACCGATCAGAGCAATGAAATTTTCCAGTAGCTATCACATTTTACAACAAGGGTGCACCGAATCTGACAAACACTTGTTGAATGTTGTCCAGGGGCTGATTTTATCTGACAACACGATAGTTTTAGTATGTACTCGATAAACAAGAATTAACAGAACTGTAAATGGGGGATTCATTCTCTGTTGTAACCTAATCGTGAGATACAAAGATACAAGATTCGTGAATCAAGGAGCAATGTTTTATTCTTATCTATCCTAGGCCTATGAGAATCATATATTTGAATTGATGGGTATAGGACACTACGGCAGTGGACATTCGATTCAATGTACAAAAATAGTGATCTGAGTAACATGCGATTCCGCCGTACTATCCAGATCTTTTTCTAAATTAGTTCCGCCTTACGTATTTTGCCGTAGTGTCCGGTCCCCGAATTGATAAGTAGGAACACAACAAGATAAAGAAAGCTTTCTCACCGCATTCTTTGTATACATTCTGTGAAGTCGACAACTTAAACAGCTTGAGATATCAGCTTTATCTTGTAATCAGTTACATTTACATTATCATGACTCAATCTGCCGTTTTCTGACAAAAGTGCTTACCTTAGTTCGTTTAATTATGGCGGGTTAAATTTGGCGGTTTTTCGGAAAATCTGCCTTCCGCCATATTTTTACCCGTCATTATTTTTACCCGCCATAATACAACCCGCCGAGTCAACTTTTGGAGTTCTGGCATAATAATCTTTCCTTTTTTACATTGAAACAAGCGTCATGCACTCACTAGGTTTTCCGACCTCAACGAGGTGGTTTTATTCGAAAAAATCGAATACTTTGGTTGTAATGGACGCACAAGTACTGTTAAACTGATTGATACCGTGCTATGATACTTATTACCTATTCGTACTTACTACCTTTTCATATCAACAGAGATGTTATACTGCAAAACGTTTAATTTTAAATGTTATTATACTTTGAAATTGCAAACAAACACGCAGTCTGAAAAGAAAATTGGGTAGAATTTTACAATATGGCAGGTAGAAATTCGTGGATTTTCAAATTTTTGTGTGAAAATAATGTTGCAGGTAAATAAGCGGCGGGTTAAATTTGGCGTGTTTTCGGAAAATCCGCCATATTTTTACTCGCCATTATTTTTACCCGCCATTTATTGATTTCAATGATGAATCAGTGGAGTTAAGATAATCACATTTGTAATAGACAAAACCTCTCTGTACCGCGTCAATCGTTCGAATCTAAACCGGCCTACCTGGATTACCAGACCTCTTTTTTTCTCAACAATCAGACCGAGTTTTGCAACAAATGTGATGCGGATGTATCATAGCTAATATCGGATTTGGTGGGTGACGTAAGTAATATCGAGCTGTATTCAATCACAGGGTGATTGCTATTATGTGTCGATATTACTTACGTCACCCTAATGATACTTTTCATACAAACAAGTTAAAACAAATTCTTTATTTCGTGCATCCTGGGTTTGGACAGGATATGCCCGCTTAAAATACTTCCATCGCGTTACACTACATAATTCTGAAACATATATTACATTTACAATAAATTATGCAATATCACAACATTACAATCAACAAAATAAATTTAATCGCAAAATCTCAAATGCAAATAATCGTAAATTAAACACAAAAAAAAATTAAACAAGCAATAAATGAATAGACAAATGCACATCCACTGACAACTTACTCCTTCATAAAATTAATTTGTGATACATCACATTTCTTGCACAACTCGGTCTGCTTGTTGAGGAAAAGAAGAGGTATGGTAATCCAGGTAGGCCGGTTTAGATTAGCACGATTGACGGTACAGAGAGGTTTTATTTATTACAAATGTGATTATTTTAACTCCACTGATTCACCAATTTAAAAAATCAATAAAATGATAGTACGGCAGGATATCGGTTCGATCTTGAATGTGCCTTTGGTGCAGTTTCTGTGAAAATCGATAAGGCTGTACAGTGTACTGTAATTAATTATAAAACTCTAATATCGTGTGGTTAGAAATTAGAAATTAGAAAGATCATTACAAAATTACATGTGTCAGATCCAAATCAATTAAATGAAACTTATTCAACCAAACGAAAAACATATCACAAATAAAGAAATGGTTTCAAAGTGTGCACAGATTATGGATACTAAGTCACAGCTTACTTTCAGGAAATCTTTCACGAAATAAATTATAAACAAAATTTCTAGTCTCAAGAATGTAATGAGAGTGAAATGAATACAGTGAGATACCAAACACCGGTTTAGGGAAGTTAAGGAAGTGAATTTCATTCTCCTCTTTATTTGACTTTACTATAGAACGTATAGATTTAAAGTAAACTTCTAAAGGAAACGTGATTGCACCAGAGCTGAGTCTCCTTCTGTTGAATTATAAAGAACAAGTGCAAACCCTCATGGGATCAGGGGATCGGTGAAGAAATCTTACAGCAGTCAGTTAATTACAACATGAAACTGAGAAAATCCGGCTATTCGTGAGGTGCACGGTATAATGACATGATCTGATTACAGTATAATCGCATGATCTTAGTTTAGAGGACAGCAAACTACTGAAGTATGGAACTGAACCAATTGTCAATATATGTATCAAGTGTGGGGACTGGGGACTGACCAAGCCAAAGTGGGGACTGAGTGGGCCCCAAACAGCTGTATAAGTTTAGTTACGGCTCGTTATCGTTACTACTGTAAACTAGTATAGTTGTAAGATAGCAGTATAAGTTGCACGTGCATTAGAACTGTGTGGTTAGCAACGTTTAATTATAATGTCCCACCGTTTATACTTTATACGGCACAAACGACAGTATTAAAGGACGAAGACACGCCCAATACTGCTCTCGATATACTGATATTATCGCATGTTTTAACTGTAATGAAATGAGAAATATGATGAATATATAATAGTAGTACGATCGTGCCAGTTAGAAAAATACAAGCAAAAGCGACAAGTTGTGTAATGTGTAATACGTGTGTCTACTCGTTTTATGTCCAAAATAAACAAACACTGCTCTTAAGTCTATCTGTCATGAAGATGATGTAACTATAAGGTGAGGCCGAGCTAATAGTCGTTACCAGTGCGCGGGGGTCTACTTACCTGTAGTATACAAGTAGAGCTGCGCACTGGTAAGTGGTAACGACTATTAGCTCGGTCTCACCTTATAGTTACATCATCTTCATGACAGTAAGGTGACGTTTAAACTTATCCCCTCATCCCATGAGGGCTGCAGCGAGAAGTGAGAACTTTATAATTCACATGCACTTGTTCTTTATAATTGTATAACAACAGAAAGAAACTCAGCTATGGTGCAATCATGTTTCCTTCCAGTTTGATTAAAAGTTTACTTTACATCTATACAATCTATAGTAAAGTCAAATAAAAAGGAGAATGAAATTCAGAGGCACATATTAGGTGCGGTAAAAAAAATCGAAATTATGCGGTACCACACCCGACTATAAAGGTTAAATGTGCGGTAAGGTGCGGTAAATTTTTACCAATTATGCGGCAAATGTGCGGCGATTTTTTCGAAATTTGTGCGGGAATTGTGCGGTTTTCTTTTGCATTTTCTCAAGGACTTTGGAAATTCTAAACGTATAACCGCCGCTCTTATCAAAAATAGGTCTGTTTATGTGTTACTGAAGGTGTAGTTCTTTACTAAGACCATGATTGAACCTAATATTGAGATTCAGTTATCTGAGAACAGTGACTTGATCTGGTAGAGATCAGGAGACAGTTATTTGAAGTCGCCTCTTGATAGAGTCGATCAGATCCCATGCAGGTATCTTCTGTTTCTTGTGTGGTGAGCTTGATGATGGGTCACTGGAGAGGCCGACGACCAGGCCCCCTTATTATTAGGGGTCCCACGTAGATCAGATCATATCACCAATTAGTGACGTATAATTAGTGATGTGATCCATCAGTAGAATTTAACTGACCTAGAAATGGGCTAGATACAGGGTAGAGTTCACATGTCAACTCTGTACATCATGGCATTGCATTAAGAAGTAAACATGATCTTTAAGATCTGACCGCTTGACTCGTATATCACATAAGTGGTCGCATTACAAGGGGGAAGCTTCGATTCCAAAATCGTATATCGAGAGGTAGGTACTACTAAAAGGTACGGGCTTCAGTAAAGTAAATCGTTGACACACCCTTTTGATCGCAACGTGTAGCAAGTAAACCGGAAAAAATATGTTAAGCTCATAATGATCATAGTGATCATTATGCAAACATTCACATGACGATGACTCACCCACTTAAGGAATTGTGCGAGAAGATGAACAATCAACAAAGGCAAAGATGAGGAAATAAAATAATGTGTAATGCGTGTTAGGCATAAGGTTAGTTAGGAGTTAATTTGTTAAGTGAATTTGAATCATGAGATTTGGAACAATGAGAACATTGATCAATTGTTAAGACAATCTATACAGACAACATCTCATGAGGGTAAAGGAAATATTTCTATGGACGTAGTGATCAGGAGTGTCAGCTTTATACTCGGACGACGAGCCCTCGGTCCCCACAAAAGATAATCTTTATAATTATAGTTAAGACTAGTAGTACAATCTGTGTAAAAGAACTAATGGTCAGTCTATAAAACACATGAAAAGCAGTGTGCTCCATACCCCTTAGTCTCTAGCTTTGTTATCAAAACACGTGATTCGATCATGTGATGTTATCTCATTGTAAACAGGGTTTATTTGTTTTATTACGTGTAGTATGGTAAAGTATTAACACAATTTAACTAATAATATTATGTGAACAGAGTCGACATGTGAACTCTACTCTGTATCTAGCCCATTTCTAGGTCAATTAAATTCTACTGATGGATCACATCACTAATCATACGTCACTAATTGGTGTCATGATCTGATCTCCGTGGGACCCCGAATAATGAGGGGGCCTGGCCGTCGTGCAGCCGGTCACTGTGTGTAGCTGTTCGTTTCTTTAGGAAACGGTCCATGACGTTGTGATGTGATATAGAGTAAGCAGATGATGTGGTGAAGTTACGAATGATAACTGATACACTATAATCGAAGTACGGTAACGACGAGGGTTCCATAACGGCCTGGGTCACGGTCCCGAAAGGGCCTGGGTCACGGTCCCGAAAGGGCCTGGGTCACGGTCCCGAAAGGGCCTGGGTCACGGTCCCGAAAGGGCCTGAGTCACGGTCCCGAAAGGGCTTGGGTAACGGTCCCGAAAGGGCCTGGGTCACGTGGTAACCGGGTAACGTGGCCTAGGCATGAGTTCCAAAAGGGCCTGGGTCACGGTCCCGAAAGGGCCTGGGTCAGGGTCCCGAAAGGGCCTGGGTCAGGGTCCCGAAAGGGCCTGGGTCAGGGTCCTGAAAGGGCCTGAGTCACGGTCCTAAAAGAGCCCGACTTTTAAAATATTTTGGTTTTTACACTTGAAAATCTTAACGCGAAAATTTCAAAATTATGCGAAATTACGCGGAAAATGCTAGATTATGCGGAAATATGCAGAAAATTACAAAATGTTCGGAAATGTGCGGAAAACAATAAATTATGCGGAAATGTGCGGAAAACGGTAAATTGTGCGATCCCGCACCCATCGCACCTAATAGTAATATGTGCCTCTGATGAAATTCACTTCCTTAACTTCCCTAACTCGGTGTTTGGTATCTCACTGTATTCATTTCACTCTCTTATTTTTTCCATCCAACTTTTCTTTCTAAAATAGTATAAGAATAGTGTACACTGTACTCATAGAATAATGTTCATTGCCCATTGCCCCCCCCCCCCCCCCCCTCCTAGTACAGTGTCCCTAGTGTTTTGATGCTGATTGATTGATTGAGGAGCACTATCCAGAGACATTACTCGGCACTAAAGCCTTAAACTCTTTAATTACAATCAAATATAAATATATGCTGGTCTTTTTATTAGTAGAATTCACAGAAACGGGGATAAAAGCGACCAACTTATCAAACTTCTTTTCAATCGGACAATTGCAATATAAAACCGTCCTCTGTCGTACTGTCCGGTCCCGGTAGGACACCACTTCGCGTGCAAGAAAGAGATATGCAACGTGTATCAAGGGTGTTATCGTAACTCACCATTTATTTGATGCATTAAACACAATGAACAATAAGGGTACGATCACAGACTGTGACAACTCTGGAGAGATAATTTGTCAAATAATATGATCTTCACAGATTCACTCTTTTCCTTTTCACCTCATCACACCTGCATCAACATCACACCATCATCACACCTCGCTAGTCTTCCATGACTAACACTACTATGTAGTAATTACACTACTATGTAGTATGTAATTGCACCGTACCGTACCCCGCCGTAGTGTCCCTTTTAAACTAACCGTCTTGTTTTCAGTTTGCAACTTGGTTCTATCCTCTGTTCGGAACGTTACAGATAGTCCTCATGGTCGGATCTGTTACTGTCGCCTCCGTCCTCGTTATCAAGGCTAGATAGTGAGTATAAACCTATAACCTATTACATTATATAAACCTGTATTAGGCTAGATAGTGAGTATAAACCTATAACCTATTACATTATATAAACCTGTATTAGTCTATGGAAAAGCGACCTGGATCCATTTTAATCCTTGTTTCCTCGATTCAGTCAAAACATGATTATATAAATTCATCCCAGCCATGTTTTGAGCATAATATCGAATACACACAACTCATTTGTGATCCTAAAAGATAATTCACACAGTATACTGAAGAAGCATGGTCAGCAACAAGGAAAGAAGAAGGGGATGAAGGGGAAGAAGCGCGGGAAGGCTCCTAATCTTGCTGAGGGTATACTGCTCAGTCTCTCTTATCTTGTGGGTGTCACCTTCCTTATACTAACTCAGGTAAGCCTTATTGTCAATTGTATTTGTTTCTATCGTGTACAAAGCTTCAAGAAAAAAATAAGATTAAGATTTAAGATTCTGCCTTTGTATTGCCTCAAGGCTACCATGAAACTTAGGTTTGTTTTTTAAGAAGCATTTTGTTAGCTGCGAAAGCAGGAAACACGTATTTCAGTTTCATTATTTTGTAAATGTTTTCATAGAACAATCTCCTTAAGATCCTAATTTTACTCTTACTACGTCACATTCTATTTAACAGCACCGTCTGAAAAGCATTATTTCAGATAAATGACTACTTACTGCCGAAGAGCGCTCAGATAAACTTCATGACAACATGCAGTGAGTGGAATATATTCAAAACATCCGCCATATTCCTGACCTCTCTTCTCAATCAGTTTGCTATTGGTCTCAAGAATAGGAGGATACGGACACAGGTTTGGATATTCATGATTCAGGAATTTCTATAATAACTGTAAAATCTTTAATTTATCGAAAAGATTTGTCAGCTATTTTAAAGTGGCCGTGAATTTTTGGACCGCCTTTTTAATTTGCTTCAAGAAATAAAAACTGCAGAAATGATGGTACGTACGTGTGCAGCTTTCAGTTTCAACTTTACAATCTTTACATGCGGGGCTTGCGGGCGGACCTCGCTATTAATTATAGCGAGGTTTTTACTTCGGGAAGATGCCGTGTTTTGGCTTACTGTCACCAAGATGTAACTAGGTCGAACGGGGAAATTAGGTCTCACGCAGGAATTAGGTCTCACGCAGGCGCGTGATATATATATATATATATATATAAATAACTTAAAAGCTGCGCCTGCGTGAGACCTAATTCCTGCGTGAGACCTAATTTCTCCGTTCAACCTAGTTACATCTTGGTGACAGTTATATCTTCTCGATGGCTTGGACACTATGGCAGACAACCTTGTGGATGTCGCCGTCCACAAGGCTTATCCCTCTGCAGGGAGCAAATATCTGAACTTTACCCAGAACATAGTTCAGTTTAAATAAGCTCAATCCCTGCACCAGTGCAGACGGACCCCATTAGACGTCAGCCCAGTTGGTGGACTTACTGCAGAGGTAAACAAACAATCAAAGCGTTTGCTGGTGTCATGATTTAAATTCACTATTCCTACAGTTAATACGCGATCTAAGGAAGAGTGTAATAAGAAGGTACGGCGTAGTGAGGAGACGAATATCTAGATCAGACTATATCGTGAGCACGTTCAGGTTACGTTCCGAAACCAGACTCTCAGAGATCACATCGCAAGTGCAACGGAACGACACCTTCGCTTGAGCCATAAAAGCCGAGTGTATAAGATTATTTGCGATATAATCGTCCTCAACGTGAGATCAATAAAAGACATTTACAATTCAGTAACGTTTACAGTTTAATACGAGCAGTATTTATTATTGTGAATCCAATGGATTTTAAATTTCAGTGACTTTTGCGTCTATTTAGGGGCTATCTACTTAGGACGTCCGCCAAAATCGCAGATTTTCATACCACCCCCTTCCCCTGTCCGAGTGTGTCCGAATTTTCAATACCACCTCCCTCCCCCGGACGTCTGGATTTCCAGCTACTTTTAAGAGTACACATAAAACCAACTCAAATTCATTGTTAATAAAATTCAAAGACTTGAAATAAAATTCAAAGAGTTGAAATAAATGGGACTTTTTCGTTAATTCTGCCAAAATTTCCGGACGTCCGGATTTTCAGAAACCCCCCTCCCCTGTCCGGATTTTTCCGAAATTCCAAAACCACCCCCTCCCGATTTGCCAATTGCCGGACGTCCTAAGTACATAGATGGCCCCTTAAGGCCTGACCTTGATCGGGAAGGATTTTAATTTTTTTGCTGTGACCGTGGTGATGTATTTCTTTGACTCTTTCTTTTTATCTATTTATTATTTGGGCTTTTCATTTGTTTTTTACCATTATAAACCGAAACGCACTTCGGAAAAGTCCTCTACTTTCTAGTTCTAACAGCAGCCTCCCTCACACTAACGTCTAACAGTTACACCTCCAGAAAAGCTTTGGCAAAGGCAAACAAATTGTTTACATATAACCATTGAATTTGAACCAAAATCACACAATAATGAGTCAATAATTGAAAACAAGCTTTTACTCTTACTGATGACCTACGACAATTACGACAGTATTCAAATTGAACTTGCATTATATGTTCAATGTTGTAAATTAAAATCACAGTGCTGGCAAGCATGACATTGACCGTGTCTCTGGCAAGCATGACCGTGCCTCTATATTATAGAGAGAGAAAGAGAGAGAGAGAGAGAGAGAGAGAGAAAGAGAGAGAGAGAGAGAGAGAGAGAGAGAGAGAGAGAGAGAGAGAGAGAGAGAGAGAGAGAGAGAGAGAGAGAGAGAGAGAGAGAGAGAGAGAGAGAGAGAGAGAGAGAGAGAGAGAGAGAGAGAGAGAGAGAGAGAGAGAGAGAGAGAGAGAGAGAGAGAGAGAGAGAGAGAGAGAGAGAGAGAGAGAGAGAGAGAGAGAGAGAGAGAGAGAGAGAGAGAGAGAGAGAGAGAGAGAGAGAGAGAGAGAGAGAGAGTCGACCCTACTCGGCGAGGCCCAATGTCAAACTCAAATTGCAAATGCAATGGTGCATCTTCACGATCTAACGAAGATGGTTGCGAGAAGGCGAGAAGCATTATTGATAATATTGCTTCTCTTATAATATGTAAATCATAAATGGATATTTAATGCATATTTAATGATATTACGTAATCAGCTGAGGGGGGGTTTCCGAATGATTACGCTAGTGTAATTTTGACACAATAGCTATGTGTAAAACTAAAACTGATTACAGAGGGGGGCCGGGGGGGTAAAAATGTTCCAGAAAATTATTACGTAATATGTGAACGACCCCTTAGTATGTACAATTATGTAGTCGTCCATTGTTATATATATATATTTTATAGTGGAATTACTGGGCCGCGCTCAGCCTGTCATTCCGCCGAATCTCTATTCTATATGTTTATGATTATGAACAGAATAGCCTGAGGTCCCCGGGTAATACAGTGGACTAGCCTAGCGCGCTACTTCGTAGCATATAGCACTTGCCTCGGGCCAACATTTCGAGAAGAAAGCGGCGCGCGCTACTTCGAAGAAATTTAGACGAGTAACTGGTAACATCCGTCAAACAATTGACAATGTAGTACTGATGTCTGATAGCGTTTTTGAGTTTATTATTGATCTTTAATAAAAAGTATTCAGAGTGGTTTGTGTAAGTGCATATATTGATTCTGAAAACATTGCAAAAGATTTGATCATGAAGTTTAAAAGAAGTTATTGCAATATGCACAATTTGGGAGTGTGCTTTCTGTGGAGATAAAATCACGCATTAACCATGAATTAAATCATAAATTAGTTAAATCAATTAAATTAGTCAATATACATTTATATTTATTAAATTTAATCATCGCCTCGTTATTAATTGACGATGTCAATTCTTATTCATCGCAGCTCGGCGCGGCACAGTAACGCATCGCGCTACAAGTACAATTACAAATCGTCTCGGTTCAGATCTAAAAATTGTAGTGCGATGCACTTATTAATAAGTCTTACTCTTAACTACTGGCTATGCACTTAACTACTGGGCCGCGCATCAAATAATTCTTCTTCGGTAGATCGGCAAGATGCACTACTGGGCCTCACCGATCTGCGAAGGATTGACATCGTGAATCAAATCTAAAAAGTAAAAACTCAACATCAGAATTATTGCTACTAGTACTACTATACTAGTTAACAGTACGTCATACATTCCCAGTCCCTTGACATGTGATTGTGAATGTGACACACGTTGCAAATATTTTACGAGTACCACCGTTAATGCACGCTTCGCGTGGACGAGAGGTATACAATTACAACGTGTAGCAAACGTTACCAATTACCATATTTTACTAAAGTTGATGTATCTAGTATTACTATTAGTAATAATATATTCTTTATTAATATTGGTATTGGTAATTTGACCAAAACCCATAATCATGGGTAGAGTGGACCGCTGCCAGTGTCTCTCTTTCCCAAACAAAAGGAAATGATATTAATTTGATTGACCGTTCTCAAATGCAAAATGATACCGAGAATGAAATCGGTCGCTCGCTTTTCCCATTCATTCACGGCTTACGAATTGTATAATAAGTTTCGATTGATTAGGTACATCAATCAGATGCTGTACAAATCTCTTTGGGTTGCGTTCGGGTCGATACCTAGTATTTCGGGGTAAGGGTGGTAGTTATTACTTATTGAATTAGCTGAAGTTTATTGAATCTTTATTGCCGAGTACAGCTGCCTTTGGGTAGTTCTTCTTAATAAATCTATTACAATTGTAAATGAATGGGAAAAGCGAGCGACCGATTTCATTCTTGGTATCATTTTGCATTTGAGAACGGTCAATCAAATTAATATCATTTCCTTTTGTTTGGGAAAGAGAGACACTGGCAGCGGTCCACTCTACCCATGATTATGGGTTTTGGTCAAATATCATCTCTTTTTTATTATAATGTCAGGGTACTTTATAAAGTCGAAATTTAAACTGATATCTTCATTAATAAGGAGGAAGTTTCAACAATTTCGAAATTTTTCCTTTAAAAACATTTCCTTGTGTTTAGGTAAGCATATCGGTCGATCACTGACTGAATATGCCACTTAATACTCATTCAAGTTGGCATTAAATTCATTTATAATGACATTAAACTGTCGTGGCAAAGCAGAATTTGTTGGAAATCACGAATGAGCAAAATTCTCACCTTTCGCACGTGCAAACTTTGAGCGGACGTTGCGTGCGCATTCAATATTGAATCGCCGTAACTTTTTGCATGTAATTGTTTTATATATAGCTTGATAAGCATGCAAAGTTTCAAAGTATTTCAAGAAGAACTGTAATCACAACGGCACTCTAAAGTTGACAGAAAATGACGAAAACAGCAATTTTCAGTGATTTTAGCAATTTTCTATCAATTTGGGCGTGTCCCCACGTGTGCAAATTTTCGATTTTTAACTTTAAAACTAGCCTAATGCACAATTAATACCTATAGGAAGCAGAACTGAGCTCCACAACCCAAGGCATGGCCCAACACCAGAGAATACTAAATCGCAAAATTGACGTTTTTATAAAATAATTCTTCAAAAAAGCACAAACTTCAATGACGAATATCTTTATGAAGGAGCAAGCTAGAAAAACTTTCCGGTAGATTTTCAGAATGCTTGAACAATTATCTAAGGTAAAAATTTCCTCAGATTTTGAATACAATTACTTTTTAATGGTGTAAAATCATTTTTTAAAGTTATTACTTTGTCAAAAATCAAGTTTTAAAAACGGTTAACTTGATGACGTCATCAAGGGGTGTTCATGACGTCAAATAATTTGTTTATACAATGTAAACTAAAGTGTAAACAATTATTTTCAAGACTTGTGGTCAGAAATGGCTGTATCTTTTATAATTTTGAATCTATGGACAATTAAATACAGGCTACAATTGACTGGCAAAGCGTCTATCCCTGAATATATGTATCACAGTGCTGGCAAGCACGACCGTTGCATTTATTGTGGGTATACTATGTTCCCCATTTACTATTATACCCCCTTTACTATTATACCCCCTTTACTATTATACCCCTTTTACTATTATACCCCCTTTGGTACACGTTACAAGCCTCTTTTGTGCACGCGAAGCGTGCACTCCGGCCGGAGGCGGCGGCCGAAGGCCGCCGCCTCCGGCAGGAGTTTTCCAGGCACTAAGACTCATCGGAAGTCGTTCAGCAGATTTATTTTTAGTTCAAAACATTCTAATTTGATGTCAAAGATGACAGGAATAAAAAATAGTTATGTTCAGATTTTTAAGAAATTTGCATAAAATACTCGCCAGCACTGTTATACGAAATTCGGTAAAAAACCCAAAATCGCCATATTCAGGTGCCCTAAAAACCATGTTAAAATTGAGTTAGAGATCTGAAATTTTTCAGGGCGTCTAGACGTTGACCAACTTGACTGCAACAAAAGTTTCAGGTTTCAGGAGCATCGGGAAATGGGTTTTCTAGAACCCCTGTTTTACGACAGATTGTCGGGACATATACATACAGATCACCTTAATAACACCAGAATGTGTGTGTGTGTGTGTGTCTGTCTGTCTGTCTGTCCGTGTGTAATTTCCGGTCGGTTATACAAAAAAAACGGTTAGAGTTACGGGACTGATTTTTTCGGTATAGTGTCGACAAAACTCTGATGAAGCCCATAGGAAATTTTTTTTAAAATCGGCCGGTGGTAAGTGGTTTTATTGATGGTTTTGTACCACAAATGTTACATAAAGTTGCTTGAGCAGAACGGCAAGAGTTACGGGGCCTGCTCTCTCTTTCTCTCGCTCTCTCTCATTACTGTGTAATATGTTATCTGCTGCATTTAAGTAGCGTCATAATTGGATTAGCCCGGAAGATTTGCTGTAATGTTATACCTTAAGCTTATTAGGGGAGGGAGTACTGTTAGTGTTTGGGGTCTGTTTGGACTGCAGAGAGAGAGAGAGAGAGAGTTCATACGACAATGTTATGCGTGTTTTCAAATATAATATGCGGGTGTGGTGCGGAGTTAACAAGGGTTAATTTCTATAACGATTTAAGCGGTTCAGGACGGGAGTGATGAGGTGTAATACTCGGTGTTCAGACCTTATGATCATGGAATGTGGTGCCTAATAATGATTAAATTATCCACAAGAAATAACTGATTATGAGATTATTGTTTAAGAAACTATTGGGTCACCTAATGCGGGTTTTGACTCAGCGGGTAATTACTCCTACCCTTTTTAACTGCGGCAGTGAAATCCCGGCCGTAGGCCGGGTTACACTAGTATACATATATATTCAGGGATAAACGCTTTGCCAGTCAATTGTAGCCTGTATTTAAGTGTCCATAGATTCAAAAGTATAAAAGATACAGCCATTTCCGACCACAGGTCTTGCAAATAATTGTTTACACTTTAGTTTACATTGTATAAAAAATTTATTTGACGTCATAAACACCCCTTGATGACGTCATCAAGTTAACCGTTTTTAAAACTTGATTTTTGACAAAGTAATAACTTTTAAAATTAATTTTAACCCATTAAGGAGTAATTTTATTCAAAATCTGAGGAAATTTTCACCTTAGATAATTGTTCAAGCATTCTGAAAATCTACCGGAAAGTTTTTCTAGCTTGCTCCTTCATAAAGATATTTGTCATTGAAGTTTGTGCTTTTTTGAAGAATTATTTTATAAAAACGTCAATTTTGCGATTTAGTATTCTTTGGTGTTGGGCCATGCCTTGGGTTGTGGAGCTCAGTTCTGCTTCCTATAGGTATAAATTGTGCTAGGCTAGTTTTAAAGTTGAAAATCGAAAAGTTGCACACGTGGGGACACGCCCAAATTGATAGAAAATTGCTAAAATCACTGAAAATTGCTGTTTTCGTCATTTTCTGTCAACTTTAGAGTGCCGTTGTGATTACAGTTCTTCTTGAAATACTTTGAAACTTTGCATGCTTATCAAGCTATATATAAAACAATTACATGCAAAAATTTACGGCGATTCAATATTGGATGCGCATGCAACGTCCGCTCAAAGTTTGCACGTGCGAAAGGTGAGAATTTTGCTCATTCGTGATTTCCAACAAATTCTGCTTTGCCACGACAGTTTAATGTCATTATATATGAATTTAATGTCAACTTGAATGAGTATTAAGTGGTATATTCAGTCAGTGATGGACCGATATGCTTACCTAAACACAAGGAAATGTTTTTAAAGGAAAAATTTCGAAATCGTTGAAACTTCCTCCTTATTATAATGAAGATATCAGTTTATAGGTACCGCGACAATTGACCCCCCGACAATTGACCCCCCGACAATTGACCCCCCGACAATTGACCCCCCGACAATTGACCCCTATGTAATTACACTGGGGTCAATTGTCGCGAAATCCAGGGTTTAGTACGACAATTGACCCCCCGACAATTAAACAGGATCAGGGTCCTGAATCAGGATCCTGGGTCAGGGTTAGGGTTAGGGTTAGGGTTAGGGTTAGGGTTAGGGTCCTGGGTCAGGGTTAGGGTTAGGGTTAGAGTTAGGGTTAGGGTTAGGGTTAGGGTTAGGGTTAGGGTTAGGGTTAGGGTTAGGGTTAGGGTTAGGGTTATGGTTAGGGTTAGTGTTAGGGTTAGGGTTAGGGTTAGGGTTAGGGTTAGGTTTAGGGTCCTGGGTCAGGGTCAGGGTCAGGGTCAGGGTCAGGGTCCTGGGTCCTGGGTCCTTTGGTCCTGGGTCCTGGGTCCTGGGTCCTGGGTCCTGGGTCCTGGGTCCTGGGTCCTGGGTCCTTGGTCCTGGGTCCTGGGTCCTGGGTCCTGGGTCAGGGTCAGGGTCAAGGTCAGCCGGGGGGTCAATTGTCGGGGGGTCAATTGTCGGGGGGTCAATTGTCGGGGGGTCAATTGTCGGGGGGTCAATTGTCGCCCACCCAGTTTATATTTCGACTTTATAAAGTACCCTGACATTATAATCAAAAAGAGATGATATTTTACCAAAACCCATAATCATGGGTAGAGTGGACCGCTGCCAGTGTCTCTCTTTCCCAAACAAAAGGAAATGATATTAATTTGATTGACCGTTCTCAAATGCAAAATGATACCGAGAATGAAATCGGTCGCTCGCTTTTCCCATTCATTTACAATTGTAATAGATTAAGAAGAACTACCCAAAGGCAGCTGTACTCGGCAATAAAGATTCAATAAACTTCAGCTAATGCAATAAGTAATAACTACCACCCTTACCCCGAAATACTAGGTATCGACCCGAACGCAACCCAAAGAGATTTTTACAGCATCTGATTGACATGTAATCAATCGAAAATTATTACAATTCGTAAGCCGTGAATGAATGGGAAAAGCGAGCGACCGATTTCATTCTCGGTATCATTTTGCATTTGAGAACGGTCAATCAAATTAATATCATTTCCTTTTGTTTGGGAAAGAGAGACACTGGCAGCGGTCCACTCTACCCATGATTATGGGTTTTGGTAAAATATATGTATATAGATATCACGACAATCTGTCGTAAAACAGGGGTTCTAGAAAACCCACTTCCCGATGTTCCTGAAACCTGCAACTTTTTTTGCAGTCGATTTGGTCAACGTCTAGACGCCCTGAAAAATTTCAGATCTCTAACTCGATTTTAACATGGTTTTTAAGGCTCCTGAATATGGCGATTTTGGGTTTTTTACCGAATTTCGTATAACAGTGCTGGCGAGTATTTTATGCAAATTTCTTAAAAATCTCAACATAACTATTTTTTATTCCTGTCATCTTTGACATCAAATTAGAATGTTTTGAACTAAAAATAAATCTGCTGAACGACTTCCGATGAGTCTTAATGCCTGAAAAACTCCTGCCGGAGGCGGCGGCCTTCGGCCGCCTCCTCCGGCCGGAGTGCACGTTTCGCGTGCACGAAAGAGGCTTGTAACGTGTACCAAAGGGGGTATAATATAGTATATATGAAACATTTGTCATGGAGTTGTAGAGGGAGTTATGTGCCTCGCCGGGCTAAAGTAGTGGATGACCTTGCTGTACGGCAAGTTAAACAAGGATCTGAAACTACTAGGTTCCGTACAGACTCAACTCTGCACCCGTGTCAATATGTTCATTATATGCAAGCCTCTTGATTTATAATAGTAAAGGGGGTATAATAGTAAAGGGGGTACATAGTATACCCACAATAAATTCACCGGTCGTGCTTGCCAGCACTGTGATAGGATATGGAATAATTTAACTATATGCTAGAAGTAAAGAATTGTCTGGAGAATGAAGTCAGGTCACAGGTGCATATTCAAAACATACAGCCTACGTCTCAGAGAGTTCTTGCGTCTAAGCACGTTGTCGGATGGTTGGGTTGATACTGTTGTACGGATTGTAAGGATGAGTCAGAGTGACCAGATTAGAAACGGGGTTCACTCTAGGGTACATCTCTCCCTGGCACCCCGCACTCGCAGGTATCTCTCTGAAAAGGAAATAATCAATCATTTAGATCACTTGATTGATTTAGTTTTAATCAATAATGATTATGCGAGTATGCTTTTAGTTTTATCACTGTTAACTGTAATAAATATCATAAATTAAAACTAAAAACATTCAATCTCTTTCGCAGTAAATATCAATATGTTGCATTAAAACAAGTTTAATAGGGTACCTGTGAGTAAGTGTTTGAGTGGAGGCAGGTTTCAGGTGGTGGGCTGGTTTGGTGGTACCCGGTCTGACGTACCCCGAGTATCCGATTATATTTGCTCTCCTGTACAAATACCTTTATGTAAGTTGTTAACTCCAAAAAATCAATGAAAATTATAAACAAGCTGCATTAAGGAATAAATTTCGATGGTGTAGGAGCAATGACATGACATAGAATGGCATAAGTTTTCATAGAGAAAATGGAAAACCTTTGAAATTCGAGTAAATTGAAATTTTATGCCGTTTATGCCATGTATTTTGGTCATAGAATTACATATTTGACATCATCTGATACCTAAATTGGACACATTGTTTCAGTTTCGCTACACATTTTGCCGAACCCGACTAGAACCAAACCTGTCAAAAACTATACACTATAGGCGCCCAACTCGAACCCAAATTTTTGTCGTCTCTTAGGTTGGAACATCGCGCGTAGGTTAGATGGTATCAAAATTTCGCAAATTATCATGGTTAGAAGTCGAACGTAGCTGTGACCATTGTTTAAGTACTAGTACAATCCATGTAGCGTAATCTATAACTCTATAGTTCGACAGAGTTGAACTTCAGGGCTTGTCGATTCAACAAGCCCTGAAGTTCAACTATGTCGAAGTACTAGTAGAGTCTAGGTGATGTTCAGGGCTTTACAATTGTACCAGCAAGTGTGAAGTGTACCAGGAAGACTGGTTGCGGTTCTCCCCCGGATGATCGTGAAGGTAGATTAATCTGTCTGCTGTAAAGCCAGAGGTTAGAGGGTGTGGAGGAACCTTACAGTGCTGCTTAACAAACCCTTGAGTCCTGTTTTGTTGGGCGCTTATAGTGTTTAGTCTCACACTCCACACAAAATAAGTTATACAATCTCAAGACTCAAGCATAGAATACAATTTCGTTACAATTAGAATCGGGAACATCATTGAGAGGAGTCGTTCTAGAACCGGCCCCAAATCTCGTATTGGAAAATGACCTGACTAAATTCTCTCTACCCATACCCATACAAGTTAATCTATTAGTTTATCCAGGCACGTATTTTATCTAATTGCATTGTATTGTATTTTCTAACCTGGGAACGCCCAGTAAGTATTTTCCTAATCAGTAAACACTTATCTGCCTGAAAAATCGATTTACCGAACCAACGAGATTTCAGCGGATTTTTAAGGTGTTTGACTTCCATCAGGTACTAGGGAGCCTACACGACTGACCGACTTATCCAAACCTTTCCACGTATTTAAGGCCACTTTGGGCACTTTTTGCCACATTCAAATATCTTTAGCTACGAACATTATAGAAGGTGACGGATTAATAGAGAGTGTTCATCTTATCAATGTGTAAGTACTTACCTAATTAGCTAATGACCACTAATAAAGAACATGCACCTAAGGCACATTCGAACCTGCTGTATTATGATTTTAAGTATTTAAAATGGTTTTGTTCATTTAATACTGTACACCGATTTATATTGGTTTTTGAGAGAAAATAATACGTTTAGTAAAGTATGTACAGAACTCCTAGTGTATCGAGCAGAATCACCATGAGGCTCTCTAATCCCGTCTTATGCCCATTTGACCTCATTTTACGAAATTGGGGGAAATTTAAACAATATCCAGATTCAAGATGAATTTTATATTTAATTTACGCTGTCCTTTATCATGTTTATACTAAGACTGAAACTTTTAAAAATTTTAGTTTTTCTAAATTTTCAAATCTAAAATGGCAAAAATTTAAATTTATGCCATTTCAGGTCATTGCCCCCCCCCCCCCCATCAGGCCGTATTTATCAGCCCCACGTTACCTGGAAACAGCAGTGGCTGGTGGTAGATCCCTCCTAACCTCCGTCCTCTTGACAATAGGTCCATCAGATAAGCCCAGCTCCCCGGATACCAGTGGTACTTGTCCCGTGTATCCAGGAGTGTTTTGGGACTGTCTACTATCTGTTCGGAGGAACAAGTGTTACAATTTTAAGCAGGTACTATTGATACTAAGGTAATTTGTGAGATAACAATGATCTGAATGGACCCTCGAACTTGGGAGTATGCACAATTTATAATAATTTCCTTGGTCTTCCTGTTAGAAAAGGTTCTAAATTTGGTTTGTAGTGAAATGGAAATTATTAATTTACCGCTGATGTATGCGATTGGTTTTGAGCAGAAGGTGTGTTTCCGCGGAGAAGTCCGATCAAAGGCAGGTCCTACAGCTTGCCACGCGTAGGATTTAGATTCATATCTCTGAACTGGCTGCTTGACCTGGAGTGGGGTACAAGGTTAAGACTTAAGAATAATAAACTAAGTTGATGATCTGGATTCTGAGTGAGGTTCACCTACTTACCTAGACCTTTGAGTATGAAAACACTAGGATGGTATCGCCCTGGCCCCGAGGCTGAGAAAACATCATACCAAGTCTGTTTAGGTACATTAGGAATCCGGTCCGGCAGCCAAAACCAGAGACCGGTCGGTTTCTAAGGTACATGCTTAATGCTTATAGGAACTTAGAAACTTCTCACCATGTCTGGTCTGGTTTCTCTAGACTGTTTCTTCACAACAGGAGTAGTTTTCATTTTCCAGGGTATTTCCTCCATAGCCCGATGTGAGACAGAAGTGTACCGCGTCTTTATCTCGAGGGCGTCTCTTTCTGTTTGAGTTTCGGGCAGTGCCGCCTGATCAGTCAATAGTATTGGTACAAGTAAGAATAGATCTGAACAATTTACAAACGTAGGGCTAAAAGTTAGCTGTGTTGTTCTAGTAGTAGTATCAAATAGTTTCCGTGGGTTTGTCGTAAAAGTTCAGAAATAATCGTTTGAGAAAGTAAAAATAAAGCCACTTGTATCACCTTGATTTTAAAGTTATCAACAAACATGCCCAAAATCGATAAGAAAGCTGGTTATAGAACAGAGCTCCGACTATCTGATTAATCAATCTGCGAGTTCACAGCTAAATGTACAGAATTTGACTTTTAAACTTTCAAAACACTCGCTTCACAATCATAGTTCTGCATACGAATGGTGGGAAAATGAATATGCTTTGTAAAACGGAAATTTCAAAACAACTCGAGGGAGTACCGTGCGATTCATCGAATGAAAAATCAGTCTCCTCTCAAAACTTCATGTGTAACAGTTAGTCAACATGACTCACTCGAACTTCTCAATAGGACAATGATTGAATGCGAATATTATGTAATTATTGTGTATCAATTTGCTTGCTTATAAAAACTGTGCACTGATAGCAACTGCGACACCTCTAAGAATGACTGTACCGCTCATTCCATTTCCTCTAAATTTCACGGTTCACGGCAAGCATTACTAATATAATCAAAAATATACATACTAGTTTACATTCGGCATTCATGATCTATCTGTATTGACACCGGACAAATTTAACAGAGGCCTACAAAAACCTCCGCAACTATCTGCAAGTCAACTACTGGTAAAAGAAACAGTAACTAAGGTAATAAAGGAGGACCGTGACAGAATGTGTTATCTCAGCAGGGGTCCAGTATGATATAATTTGATGGATAGAACAAGCTGAACAACGAGCAGAACTTCCCAGCTTGTTGTTGCCATAGAAACCATACACAGAACAGAATCACAAGTGCAGTGTAATCACAAGATTTACTATGGCAATTGGTAATTTATGTCTAACCAATTACAGTATCGATCTTAACTACTACTAGTCTAAGCTATAGGGAACATAATCGTTCAATATACTGTTCACTGGGCGGCGCTCAGCCTGTCATTCCGCCGAATCTTTATGTTTATGAACATTACAGCCTGGCCGCCTGGGGTTCCCAGGTAAAATACTGTGGTTCATGTCGGAAGTAACGTGTAGCAAGCAAGTTGAGGAGATAATTTATTGGTAAAGATAAATTTGACTTACCGAAATTCTAGGTACCATTTGACCTGAAATGATCGACTGTGATAAGTTTAAGGGTGTTAAAAACTCGAATTACTGCAAAAAGCCATCGTAAGTAAAAATGTCAACATGGCGATAATCGGATAATAGCGCTTTTAATCGTGCCTTTCTAAATGTGCCCACAAATTTGTTTGTTATTCTATCTGTCCATATGATATAATATTAATAATAGAAAAAAAAATACTGCGACGATCCGCGAAGATCCTGAACGAACTTGAAGTCTACTCGTTCGTTTATTTTCCACGCATCTCATGTTGTTCAATTTTGTAGGCTTATATTTATAACCTACCAAGACGCATGCCGAGTTGGAACAAATATTTTAAGATTATCACCCGTTAAGTTCAATTATGCGTGAATGCAATCTTAATGCGAGCTGATTGATCAATGATCATTACAAGTTTATGTTTAGCTACCTTATAACCTTATAAGTTATAACTCCATTGTAAGTTAGTACAATTGGAGACTATGCGGAGAAGCAACAGACCCCGGAACCGAGTGGCAAACAGGAAAATCCAAATTTTACTGGTTTTGAAATTTTGGTTTTGAAATTTCCGACTGGTTGATAGATGTCACCAAATTTTAAAATGTATCCTAAAGGTTTTCCGATTTCGTTCACCTCATGTCATCGGACCCTCTGATCGTATACTAAGGACCCGGCATATAGCCTTTTTAACCGGATTAGATCTCGAGACATGCTTTCAGGTCTCAAATCACGAGATCAGACTATAAGGACCTGGAATATTATCTGAGTATCCCAAATCTAATTTTCAAAAATTGCAATTTTTCCTGAAAATTCTTGAAATTTCCGGTTGAAATCCGGCCAAGTAGTCCGGAGCGGGGTATCCGGCCGGTTCCTGACCGCGATGACATTTTGAATTAAAATTTGATCTGAATTTGTTAGAAAATCGAAGGACGCGACTTTGGCCAGACAAAATGAAAATGCGTGACGGTATATAAATGCGCGGCTTAAAGTGCATTCACGATTGAAACTGTTGTGCATATATTTCAACTTGTGCCTTCCCTAAACTCATAAATTTGTACCAAAAGTTTCTGTACCAAACTGTACAAGTATGAAACAAAAATGAGGTACAATATTTGGTACACGAGATCGTGTCGATATATTTTCTTTAAACTTTCCAGATAGTAAAATAACTATAATAGGAACAATCTGTGCGAGTTTGGGCAAATTTATATGTGCCAAACTTGAGATATCACTTCAAACACAAGAAAATATTTCCAAATTGGTGGCTATATTTCATGTGGCTAATTAGTAATTATGACAACAACTTTCATGATTTTCTAAAGGCTAAGGTCAGTTATTAAGCAAACCCTACCTGCAACGATCCTCCAAGCTACTACTCCACTGCTCTCGGTTTCTATTGTAACGTCCGCCCGTTTAGTCTCGTCTGGAATTGGAGAATAAATTTCAGAGAATCAAACAATGGTTCTCTGTCATAGCTCATTGTATCAAAATATATAAAGTGCCCTAAAAGTAATCATACTAACTGGCAAGTGTCAGGGAGTGAGTTCTTGTGGCCCAGTTAATATTCGTCGGGCACTATTTAACTTTCACCCAATTTTCTGCTGAAAGCTGCGTGTAGGAATACAATTTTCGTTGTGCAAATGCGCTATTTGCACGTGCAAAAATATCATTTTCGAGTCAAAATTCTAAGCCTCAAGAAGGTGCTACAAAATCAATGTTTGCTGCAATTAGTCACGCTAATAATGAATTATTTGAAAATATGCATTAAACCTTGCCATAGTGCAAATTTATTTACTCGAAATTGTGCTCTACTCACAGCTCGTAGTTATTCACGTTGGTAAGGTCTTTGTCGGTAATTTTCATGGTTGAAGATTGAAGAGACCTTTTGGATAAGCACGTTTTGTTGGAGGCGATGAGAGAAAATGGGGACAGGAATTAGTAGAAAACTTTGTTCGGTGCAGGAAAGATCATACCCAGTGATGAGGAGCTATAACGTCATGACAGTAAACATTAGGTCATTTCGGTTTGATCCAGTTCCTCGGGTACAGTAAGACGCTCGTCGCTCAGTGGTTGCTTCAAAGTTGTACAATGTATGAGCAGGGACAGTGAGAGACAGTCTCCTGTTCAGCCCACAGTATACCTTAATAAGGGGCATTGGCTTCTGTATTTCTGTCTGTTGTTAATGAATGAAGAAGTATGGTAGTATGATGTTTGCTACCAACCCAAGACCTTGCTAACTGTCGTCGGCACGACACGACTGCATATCTCATTCCATTCGTGGCTATTTAAAGTATGTGATTGAATACCTACTACAGGATTAGATAAGACTAATTAATTGGAAATGAAGTGCTTAAGTACAATAAACATAGTCCGCGGAGAGTATCATCTTCTTAATATAATTTGTACGACAATATAACTGAATATTCTCATAAGAGTTAGCCATGATTGTTTGCTATATCGACATAATGGACTGTAAGTGGTAACCATGGACACAAAGTGCAGGCATCCTCTCTGTGTAATTTAACATCAGATAATATGCGACATACATATTATAATGTAAGGGTTTAAGAGTAAGATTATTATAATTTAGAGAAGTGCTCATACTAGTGTAAGACTTGCAAGACACCATCACAATTCATACAATTTATTAAACCAGCTTTATTCCATAAATTCCTAACATAGCTTTCTTGCTTGTCACACTGTTGAGGACGACAAAAAGTATGTTTTTGGTAATTGGTATAGGTCAAAAGCTCAAAATTCTATCATTACATTCCACATGGAATCTGATTTTTGGACATCATCATCAGTTATCACTCATTGACTTACCGACAAGACGATAAAATGGATCGTTCAAACTAAGTCGTCTGTTACTATATATCAGGTTTGACACGCATTTTTAGGACTGTTCTTTTCAATACAAATTTTAAAATACGACTAGTCTTAGGATGAGACATTACGCAAATTAAGTAGATTTTCAGTTATTTTATATTTTAACAGCTACTGCTATGGAACAAAAACCAGACGAACAGAGTGGTCTTCTTAACAAGACACAAGATGCTTGGACAATAAAGGATTGGATACTTCTTTTCTTTTCGCTATTGATCAGTGTCGGGGATGGAGTGGAGATATACTTACCAGGTATCTATAGATTCTATAAGAATTGAAGCATGATCAATTTAAAAACATTTGATCAAAATCGATACATACGAGTATTTTGTGAACACAAAGCTGCCCATTGTCAAGGATTTTGTAAAACTTTTAAATTTACAGGTGTTATGACACAATACGTGGCCTGTGAAATTGGAGTAGATGATTTTCAGGAAGGATTTCTGGGCTGCATACTTTATCTAACAATGGGGATGTCTATTTTTTGTGCAGGTCCGATATCGAATCGGTAAGAAGTTTATTGCGTTTGTTATAGTTAAATACTCTTCGAACAACACTATTTAAAAAATAAAGATATAAAAACGCTTTTTGAGTTGTATGATGAATGCGAGTTGTGACCTGTAATAGCTTCAATGCATGAGTACTGCTTGCGAAAGCAACCTGCGGCCAGCAGACAATGTTGCATCCAACTGTGAATATAATCCCAAGAGTGAACTGGAAATCCTTCATGCACCCTTCCAGATGTCACTGTACTATTTTATGCTAGGCAACACCATGGTTTGGTGATCGGTCGCTCCCTTTTGGTTTTTGAGAACTGCCCCTGATGAGTGGTGGGGTTTGAACTCACAACCTTTTGAATAGTAGTAAAAGTAAAAGAGTTATGTTACATTCCTCAAATTATACTAAACTTTGCAGATTAGGACGACGAGAAACATCCCTACTGTCCCTCTATGGGGGTATAGTCAGCACCATCGCCTGTTCTGTGGTGGGGAACTACCTGACTCTCCTACTCTCAAGGGCCCTCGTTGGTTTTACTGTCGGGTTGCACCTGTCGGTCTGCTTTGTGCTGCTGGCTGAACAAGCTAGCAGTAAGAAGGTTCTGGACACTCTACTTCTAGTCGGCTGCTTAGGTTACTCTTTAGGTAGTATCTGGGTTCCAGTACTCGGGTATTATATTCTAGATCTACTCGGCTGGAGAATATTTCTGATTGTTGCCTCTATTCCAGTCATGATACCTCTAATGTTAATCCTACACTTTTCCATAACCAGTACATCGAGGTTGGAATTTAGCAACCAGACAAAACAAAGTGAAGATGAAGAAACAGAAGTTGTGGAGGTACCAAATTTCAAAATGAGACTATTTAGATTGTGCTTGTTTTCAAGCATCAATGGCTACCATGGCTGTGGGACTATTCTACTCTTGCCAGCATTGATAAGACTTTTCAACATTAAAAAAGGCGGAGGAGGAGGTAGCAACTGCGAATCGATCACTCACGGAACTGAATTCTTCTTCCTAACATGTGTCGCTGGAGCAGAAGCACTGGGAAGAATTGCATCTCCGATCATCAGGAAGAAGATTAGATTTAGAATTTTGTACTCCTCAATTACTGTGCTCGTCCTAATCTGCTACATGATGTTGCTGCTTATCCAAGAAGACTTAGTTGTTATTGTGGTCATGTCATTTGTTGGAAAATTTGGATACGGAATGATGTCCATGGAAAAGACTTACATAAGCTACGACGTTCAATATTTAGGAACAAACGGCTTGGCTATTGGAGCAGGCATGATACTAAGTGCAAGTTCTATGTCAGTGGTGGCTGGCAATACATTGGTTTCTTTTGCTTCACCGCAAATGGCGATTAGATTTGGCTTGGTGCTGAGTTTTTTCCAGATCTTTGTAGTCAATTCTATGGGAGAGCGAGATCAGGAAAGCAAACCAGAAACATTGGACACCCCATCTGAAATCTCAGAAGAACTAATCTTTCCGAAAACTAAAAGGAACGATTCCATTTGCAACAAAGAAAACTATGAAGAAACAGATGTTGACCAAGTGAACAATGAAAGACCATTATAGAATTTCATGCATGACATAAGTATTTGCTCTCCAACATTGATATGCTGAGATACAATTGTAGATCGTAGATGGAAACGCAACAATTGCTTTGGTCGGTGTATCATGTACTAACAAGTATTAGATGTATGATGCTGAATAAGCTCCTCTGTCAACTGAGCAGCGGTGTGACCTCTCTCTGAAAGTATAGTTGTCAGAAATTTATCCCATTAAAATTGATCTAATAGTTTATATTTATTAATTGAATGATGTATTGAATGATGTAGTGACTGATGTAGTGAATGATGTAGTAACAAATTTTGAATGATGTGTTTAAGAGAACAAAAACAAATAGCTTTAATGAAACCAATAGTTGGTTGCTACTCTATAAAAGTACAATATTGATTCTGACCAACCTCTCTGTACTGTTGATAATTCAGCACCATTTGCAATCCGTGCTGGAGCAGTTTGGGGTCGTGTAAATGTTTGGTGGGAAATCGATCTGCAGAGATGTTAAAAGGTGACTAGCAGATCAGCATGTTGAAACTTTTAAACCTTCCGAAACAAATAAAAAACGATTTCCAAAGGATACTCCCCTCCCATTAACTACTACCTACAAACTAATTCACAGTTAAATTGTAAAAAGAATTATTTTGAATTTAGAAGTAATCAACCTCGGAGTGGTCTTGTGAGGAGGTTTGCTGATATTGCAGTCATCATAGAACTTGGCAAATCCTCCGCTACTAGTCTTGCTATGTTGTCCCGTAAGACTCAGCTCTGATGAAAAACATTGACAACAAATAATACACAAATATCGTAAAATGGATAATCAACAAACGAATATTGGATAATTTATGATTGGAAATATATAGTTACCAATTGCAGAGGAAATAGTTCCGGAGATATTGTCAAGAAGAGGGGTGTAGATTGGATGAAAAGAAGGATAACTAGAATTTGTTTTTCCATCCTCAGGTAATTTTATCTGTCGTTTAACTAGTCCCCCATGCTGAAAATATATCTATTCCAGCGAAGAAATGCCAATAAAAAATTATCATGAAATTTAACTGTTATCCATGATTAAATTAACTTTAGATTAATTTTTGTCCAGTTCGTCTTCAAACGAACCTTAGGGTATTTTCTAGCACAAACTGGCCCATTAGCATCCGATCGGAGAAAGGTTGAAAAACCAGGTCTTGGATGAAGAAATGAATCACACATACTACGTCATGATTATTGTGACATCATAGTTGAATACGTGTACATAGACTATTAACCTGTTATAATGTAATGTATAAAGAATTATTAGAAATTTATAAGTTCAAGGTTTCATTGTAAATTGCAAATCACTTCAACAGTAACCAGGTTTCTCCGTAGGGTAAAGCTATTCTGTGTCAGAATCCGCCCTTAGCTTTCTGTTTTAGGGTGCATACAGACTGCCACAAAAGTAGGTATGCATACATATTGCCACAAAAGCGATTGTCATATAATAAATAATGGCCCTTATCAAAACCAATCCTGTGTTGACTGAAATTGTTGTTTTCTTGAACACATATAATCGACTTTCAGCAGTAGCAGATCTGTTAACGGGTGAATCTTGTAAAATATTTGTTCCAAAGACCGTCGACGAGTCTTACTCGGCGCATGTCTTGGTAGGTTATAAACCTACAAGCAGGTCTGCCAAAACTATCTTTGAAAAAAGCAATTTGTTTAAAAAACTGTCCAAGGGCATCACAAGCAGTAAATCCAGCTACAACCCAACTTGTAGCATGTTCCCTTTCAAGAGAATAGGTTCAGAGGTTACGTCACCTATAACCATGACACCTGATACAACACAGCTAACTGTGTGCAACTGAATAAAGAAGAGTTAGGAGTGATGCAGTATTTTATTCAGTACTACATCAAAACAAACTTCCGACGGAAATACTGCTAGGAGAAGATAAATGATGATTTGATTTGATTTGAAACTTTTACAAAATAGCAAGTATACAAATGTACAGCAATTCGAACAAACATATAAAATGGGCCGAAATGTATAAATGCTAAAAAGCGTGGGTCAGTGAAACAAGTACAGAGGACAACTTTCAGAACAGGAGTTTTTTGGCCGCCCAAAGTCTCAATAACATCACCTCCACCTAGCAATAAAATTATGAAATGTGAAAAGTGTGAAACAATCAAATAATAATGTATGTATATAATATAATTGTCTCTCAAATACAGATAACGTCCGTAAACTCTTAAAATTCCCCTACAAGTACATACTGATCGGTGTCCGAGAAACATGAATAACGTCATCATGGTGCCTTCTTAACCCGGCTACAGACCTTCCCGTTACGGATGTAGTGGTCGAGATGAGTCTGTTCAGCCCTCTTCTTCTTCAGGTCAGTTACCACGTTCTTCCTTGCTGCACGCTCTTCACTGGATCTATCAGGACAGATCCATACATCTTTGTGTGCATCAGCCATCCTCAGTCTCCCTGTTTTCATCAGAATCTGATGAACTGCTGTTGAGCTTGGGACGGTGATCTTGACTGGTCGCATAGCCGTGATACCTGGCCTCTTCCAGCCGACTCTAGTCGCTTCAAAATGAGGTTTCTCCCCGATCTCCTCCAATAGTGTGGTTACCAGAGCTGGAAGCTGTTCTTCATCCTCTTCTTTCAGTCCAAACACTATCAGATTCTTGCTCCTGTCCTCCTCTGCAGCTACACTCTTCATTACATTCTTCAGAATTTTACTGTTGCAGACCGTGCCACTTGTGCTGTTCTTTTGTACAGCTGCACTGTAGCTCTTAATCCCTGTCTCCACCGTTGTTTGTACTGTCTCTTCAACTGACGTCTTAAACAACTGTAGTTGTTCGTCCTTCTGCACTAGCAACTGGTCCTGCAACCTGACCATCTTTTCCTTGTCTTCTAGTGCTTCCGTCTTGAGGCACTCAACGATTTCCATCATAGCGCTCATCTGACTACTCTGCCGAGGTCTGCTGCTTGCATAACCCATTCTGCCATATACCTTTTATAGATAGACGGAGACATGAGTATTTCTTGGTCCATATTTCCACGAATTTCGAAGTTTTCTAATTTCAGTTGTCTTGCCATCGAATTGAACCATCTATCAGCACAGCCCTCTACATCTTCCTTTTCTTCATAGTTGAAATCCTTGAGTTTCTTCTGAGATCGGGTCAAATTTAAATCATCCTCCGTGGTGTACATTGTATAGTAATGTACAAGTATACAGTATACACACCCAAAGGCTAACTACGCAGTAGCAGCAAACTGAACGTATCGCTAAGTTACAAAAGATAAGAGAGCTCGATAATTGCAACGTAAGCTACACACACTACACACACTACGACTGGATAACATATCATGTACTAATCTTCAACTTCAAAAGTTCTACACCGTAACTAGTAAACAGTGACTAGTAAACAGTGAACCGTAACTAGTAAACAGTGAACCACATGGTAGCTAGTTTGGATGATGATTAATCACTCTACACTCGACTGTCACGTGAATTTTTCAACCCGTTCTCTAGCTGGTTCTGAACGACATTTCGAAACCCTAACCCTCTAATCTGATCCCAACCCTAACCCTAACCCAATCCTTAACAAAAACATATGCTGAAACCTTAACCCTAACGAGAAATTAAACTAACTTCCTTATACAGTCGATCATATCACGTGATCAAGACAGTTTTCGCCAATATCTCGTCAGGGGAGCATTTTAACCCTATGTCATGGGGGTGATTCGGAATCAGCGTCCGAAAATACATCTATTAAAGTTAGTTACAACAGTCGGGGGCCCTTTTAGAACAATCTCGAAGATCGACTGTAGAGTGATTCAGCACGCTCGACATTCCTATACTTTAAAGTGAAGGCAATCCCGGAATTTCCCGACGATTTTCCGTCGGAAATTCCCAGCCGGGAAATTTTATCAATTCGGGAGTTTTCATTAAATGTGTTATAGTTTGAAGATACAAATCTCAGTGTGCTTTTGGCGGAGATATAAACTGCGCCATGTAATCATAAATACACCTTCTTAAGAATTAAAAGTTAAGTCATGGTATGAAAATGACTTTATTTATATTATATATTACACGAATGAGACCTGAACACTGAAGATGAGCCGAGCGTGCTAAATCACTCTATAGTCGATCTTCGAGATTGTTCTAAAAGGGCCCCCTTCAGTTGAAACCAACTTCATTCGATGTATTTTCGGACGCTGATTACGAATCACCCCCATGACATAGGGTTAAAATACTCCCCTGACGAGATATTTGCGAAAAACTGTTTCGATCACGTGATATGACCGTATAAGGAAGTTAGTCTAATATCTAGTTAGGGTTAGGGTTTCAGCATATGCTTTTGTTAAGGATTTTACCTGAGGACCCCAGGCTATTATGTTCATTAACATAATATAGATTTGGCGGAATGACAGGCTGAGCGCGGCCCAGTAATTAAGGATTGGGTTAGGGTTAGGGATGGGATCAGATTAGCGGGTTAGGGTTTCGAATAGTCGTTCAGGACCAGCTAGAGAAGGGGTTGAAAAAGTCACGTGACAGTCGAGTGTAGAGTGATTAATCATCATCCAAGATGAGCGCCATTTTGCACATGCTTTCGGGAATCTCGATTTTCGAAAATCCTGATTGTTTTCCCCGATTTTCAGGAATCCCGGGATTTTTAACGGATGATACTCGTAAAATATTTGTTCCACTCCAAAGACCGTCGCGACGAGTCCAACTCGGCGCGCGTCTTGGTACGTTATTAAACTACGAGGCCAAGGACTTTCCGGGCTCAATTAGATTTTGACCGTTCGATCGTTCTGTTGACTGTTAATTGTTAATTGTGTCATACGTTGGTCGTTGTATGACCCGCCGCGCACGAGTGCACGGCTCCCCCTGTATCATAGAAACACTTGTACCACGTTGCGACCCCCACGGTAGTTTCACTATCAACTATGGTGTTGACGGATGTTACTCGTCTAAATTTCTTCGAAGTAGCGCGCGCCGCTTTCTTCTCGAAATGCCCGACGGCAAGTGCTACGAAGTAGCGCGCGCTTGACATACGTTGCATGCAACTTTTCGCGCGCGAAGCGCGCGCCGCCGAAGATATTGGGATACAAAACATGTATCAAGCGCGCGCCGGGCCAGATCATTAACAATGGTCAACTATATTAAGTAATTATTGGACTCCAGCAAACGCCAAACCTGTCTCCACTTTTGCCGCTAAAAACATCATCATAACAGGTTACGATAACCTGTATTTAGTTAAACCACCTCATGTTCCAAATTCCTTTGTGCTACTTTTATTCGGTTTCTGCAAGCGACTTGCAGAATCTAGACGGATCACTTTTGAGTTCCAGGAATCCAGCCTTCTAAAACAACATTGCACCAATTAGGAGTGTCCTCTTACTTGTGAGAATAGTTGCCGAGCTGACGTGGCCGCGACCATCTTCCAATTACCTAGGTGACCGCATTCCGCGGGTGGGCGATTGAGATTTAATATGTACCAGATATTTTTGTTAAGAGTTCAGTTATTGTATTCACGATTTACTATACGCATCTCTTAACGACTTTATCATCAATCATGATCGTGTCTCTATTGGTTATTATGTAAGTAAAGTACTTCAAGCTATTACATACGCGGGCATTTTCGATCCCAATTGATTTCTTTTAGCCTTACTTTTCAGTTACTTGTATTTATATCTACCGTGTAGATACCGTTATTTCATTTTATTTTAAAAGTTGACAGCGACACAGCGACTATCGCCTGCTTTTAACTCTGTCATGTCTGTTGCTAAACAGCCGTCCGTATTTAAACTCAACACAACCGATGATTTTCAAACCTGGTACGCTCAGTTTACTAACTATGCAACAGCAGTATCGATTGACACTAAAAATCAGTTTGTTGCATATACTAAGCTCGTTCCTAGATACGTCAGCTTTTACCATAGTTCAGAACCTTGAGTTTGCTGCAGGTGATAAGGAAGATCCTACTAAGTTTGGTCCTATTCTTGAAAGAGCTTTAAAACGTAAAGATAAGATTCCACCTAGACTTGCACTTCGTTATAGAGTACAGGAATCCGATGAATCCCTAGCCGAGTTTGCATTTGCTCTTGAAATGCTGGCCAATAAGGCTGGTGTTGCAAAACCTGCGAAAGAGGAGCTTCTTGTTGATTCTTTTTGTACAGGTGTGCGAGACACTGATCTGAGCATAAAACTTCTTGAACATAGTTTTGATGCACTTTCGTTAGCTTTGGAACGAGCCCAGAAAATTGATGGAGCTTCTAAGATACGTAAATATGTCAGACCAATTGCAGCAGATTCCAATGATACTACAGGCCTTGAGATACTTGCGACCGTACCCGCAAGACGAACCCCGGCATCTGATCAAGCAGTAGCCGGCCCGCCTGATAATAGATTACATCCTGACTTCGATATTTCAACCTACGGCACATTACCTCGAAATGCGCCCAATCCTCAAAGCTATCAGCGTGAGCATGTTCCTCCATATTCGAATAGAGCTACCAATAACAACTTTGGATTTGCCAATAGGACTGGTTTTCCTCAAAATCCCAACAGATACAACAATAGGAACTCCCAAAAGCGGTGCTGGTATTGCAATCGCTCCGGACACCTCATCCGTAATTGCAGAACTAAAGCTAGTGACGAGGCCCAGAATTTTCAGGCAGGGCCGAGCCCTCGTCAGTAAATGTCACAAATTCGAGTGGTTTGGCCTTTAGTAACATTCATCGTAAATCTAATAACACTTCTAATATTTACGTAGCTGCTAATATAGGTTCACTGTTTGTCAATTGTTTGGTAGACACAGGTGCTGCTTACTCATTATGCTCTGAGGATATTTTGCCGCCTGACGTCGTTTTATCGCCCACTTCAGTTCGACTTAATGGTGTTACTGGAACCCCTTTATGTATTTCAGGAACTGTCAGTTTGCCTGTTAATTTTGGTGACGTTCGAATTTCTCTCCAACTCATAGTTGTTTCAGGGATAAACCATAAATTAATCCTTGGCCGTGATTTCATGTCAGCGACTGATTGTGAAATCAGCTTTAAAAACTTGACATTAACGATTAATGATCAAGAAATCCCATTAATTAAAGCTTCTTGTAAACCTTCTAAGCATTTCCTTGTTGCCAATTGTTCCTTATCGATCAAGCCACAAACCGTTGCCCTAGTACTTCAAGCTATTACAACTATGGTGATACACTATGGTGCGCGGCGGGTCATACAACGTATGACAAAGAAACGCTACTATACACTTAGTGAAACGACAATGGGGGTCACGAGGTGATACAAAATTATTTTTGGTTTTATCAGCTTATGTGGCAAATTAGAAGCGTTTTATAAATTTTATTCCACTGGGAAGTTTGATTAGGTTTTTAAAATTGGTTAATGTTTTGATAAATTTTTTAAAAATATTGTACTTGTTTGTAGGTTTAAACATGTTTGTAGGTTTTCAACCTACCAGGACGCGCGCCGAGTTGGACTCGTCGACGGTCCTGGATATAATAATTGGAACAAATATTTTACGATCAGTATCACCCGTTAAAAACATGTGTGATGATTGCTACACGTTGTATACCTTTTGTGCACGCAAAGCGTGCACGCCGGCCGGCCGCGCGCGATCAAAAGGGGTTATATATTATTAACGGGTGATACTCGTAAAATATTTGTTCCATATAGGACCGTCGACGAGTCCAACTCGGCGCGCGCGTACTGGTAGGTTGTAAACCTACAAATATATTACAGCGTGTGTCAATGTGATGTCATAAATTTTACTTTGCAGCGTTTTTTAAACTTTGCAGCGTTTATCAGGACACTCTACATTTTTCAACGAAGCGCATGAGGATTTCAACGCTTTAATTTCGAATGTTGCAAAAGCCACGAACTGTGAAAGTAGAATAGTGTTTTCAGTTGAAAAGTTTGAAAAGCCAGTCAAGAAGGTTTTATCAAATTTGATGTATAATATGTACAATCAGTTGAATTCTATCGTCGGAGAAACTTTGACTGCAATGAAAGATGTTGAGGAATTGAAGAGTTTTCTCATCCGATCACAAGAGTCTGTTATCAAACTGCAAAGGGAACTTCTTGAAGCCAAAGCCAATCAGTTGGAATCCGTTCAGACCGCAGTAAAATCTGCTGTTCAGGACACTGTTCAAGCTGAGATCAAGTCATACAGTCAAGCTGTGTTAAAAGCCTCGCCGAACACTACAATAACGGAGGAGAGCCTGAAAAAAGTTGTGCAGAAGGCTGTGTCAGAAGACGATCGCAGCAGGAATGTTCTCATTTTTGGTGGAGACAGATGAAGAGAAACTATCAAACAAAGTAGACGAAATTTTTCAACAGATTGAACATGAAGTGAAACCCCACTTTGAAGCTGTAAGGATTGGAAGGAAATCAGCTGACAAGACCTGAGACCAGGTCTGTAAAAATTTTGCTATCAAATTCGAATACTGTACATCAGATTTTATTAAAATCGAAAAACCTGAAACTAAGTGAGCACCACAAAACTGTGTTCATTTCACCAGATCGGTCACCTGAAGAGCAAGCCAGACATCATCTGCTCGTTTTGGAGATGAAAGAGAAGGCAACGAAGGACTTGAAAAGACGATATTATATCAGAAGGGGTATTATTTGTTGTGAGGACAAGATATCAAAGTGAACGGTGCATATTTATGAAGTGTTTCTTATTTGTGACTAAACGGGTGATACTCGTAAAATTATCTAAATATTTAAGACCGTCGACGAGTCCAACTTGGCGCGTGTCTTGGTAGTTTTTAAACCTTTATATATGTGACATATTCTTCATTTTTTGTGTGAAATAAAGTACATTTGTTCTTCAATTTTTATGAGACCCTGTTTTATATATTTAAAAAAAAACTTTCTGCTCTGAGGAAGAGAGAAAGTTTTTGTGGAGAGCCGCTCAGACATGGGCACCGTATTGTGTAAATTATTTAGGTATTTTTATGCAATATCTTTGTCGCATAAGGGCGGGGTAGTAAATATTGTGTTTCGTTTCGTTTCGTTTCGTTTACTTACTTTACGTTACTTTTTTTAATAAAATGTTAAATTTGAATTTTCTGCTTGCTAGCTACTAGTACTAATTAAAGATTTAAATCAAATCAAATCTTTACAAAATTAAAGCCTTAATTTCTTGGGAACCTTTTTTTTGGGAACCTTTTTCTGTTCCTAAACAACATATTTGTGGCGGAATGACAGTGGACAGGCTGCAGCCTGCAGCGCCGCCCAGTAAAAAATCCTCAGATCCCCGTGTAATACATTTGTTGTCGTTTGCTCAAATGCCCATGTCACGTCAATGTCATACAAATATGAAACTAGTATATATATATCTATAGCTCGAGCGTGCTAAATCACTCTATTACAGTCGATCTTCGAGATTGTTCTAAAAGAGCCCCCGACTGTTGTACTTGTAACCAACTTCAATAGATGTATTTTCGGACGCTGATTGAGATTCCGAATCACCCCCATGATATAGGATTAAAATGCTCCCCTGACGAAATATTGGCGAAAAAGTGTCTTGATCACGTGATATGACCGTATAAGGAAGTTAGTCTAATTTCTCGTTAGGGTTTCAGCATATGTTTTTGTTAAGGATTGGGTTAGGGTTGGGATCAGATTATGGATTAGAGGGTTAGGGTTTCGAAAAGTCGTTCAGAACCAGCTAGAAAACGGGTTGACAAAGTCACGTGACAGTCGAGTGTAGAGTGATTAATCATCATCCTAGGAATGTAGTACTAGTTGTGAGTTGTAAGTCAGGGGCAGTCTGAGATCTTTCGAAAACCCTTCCAACACAAAATTTCGAAGGTACACATACAATTATAAGTGCCAGTGAATGGTGGAAAATATCAAACACAGTTATTATTCTTTGTTTATATTGTGCCAATTTGTTCGAAATATAACAATTAAATAGTTTAAAAACGTAAACATTAGTCAGATTTATGATTTACTATGAGTATGTCCAAATCATTACTCATTACATTAGCTCCTGCAAAAGACAAAATGTTAATAGCGATACAATTGTACGATTAAGTTTGTCATTTTGGACTTATCTGTACTAATCTGAATTTAGTCGCTCTGTTCAATGTTCGAGCAATATGAATTTCGTACTTCAACCCAAACAATATTATCTAACAGCGTCCGCTAACAACTATATAACTAATTACACATTAGTGTAATCATTAGTGTAACCTAATATCTGTAGGTTGAGGTACTCTTAACAAAATTCTTCAACAATCAACCACCCATAATACAAATAAATTAACTGCAACCTTTCCTTAGTCTAATTACAAAGCGGGAATTAGTCAGTAAATTTCAATTTATAATTTAACAAAACTTATAACTTATATAATATGGCAAAGCACAAAACAATAGTCTTTAAAAATTCTTAGACTCAACAAATTTAATCTGAAAATCTGCTGCTTCCAAGTTTATAACCCCGACTACTGTAAAACATTTTAATTTGAATTGCAAAGCTTTTTCAAATAGCAGTGATGCCGCTAGAACTAGAAGTAGGAGTATTTCTGATAATGTTATGATTTCGTAAATTTAGCCAATCAAAAGTACGCAACTGTGATGAAAAGTGAAAAAAAATAACTCAGTTGATTCAGATCTCATTTAACATAGGACTAAAGGGGCCGGTCAGAGTATGTGTACTGAAATGTCCATTTCTGGTTATTTCTGTAAGAGTCACACGTGTCGATAATAATGTCACGCGTAGTTGCATGCCGGTCGATACATAACCCACTCTTTCTATGTATTAACTGTTCCGTCTGTAAAAAATAGGTTATTATTAATAGCTGTAGTAAAAAGCAAAGCTGATTGAATTCCTATCAGTATCATGACTATTTTCTTAGAATCAATTGCCTAAACCGAGCAAGTTTAATTACCAATTACAATAAACTGAATGAACTATAGTGCAATTTAATAATATTTATTAATAACCTTTTTATTAACTAACATTTGGATTATAGTCGAAGAATTGTCTGTCAGATTTGAGGTCGATCCATACCAAAATAACATTTGAACCAGGACTAAGACCGTCTACATCAAACACATACAACAAGCCCATTAATCTGCGGTCCTTTCGGTACATCCAGAACTGATTGTTTCCTGAGAAACGGTTAGAGTTATGTATCATGTGACATTAGATACGTGTCGAGGTATTTAAGGTATGTACCAGTACAGTAACCGGGTAAGAATGTCAAGTAGTCTGGTTGGAAATATGTTCGCTTTGAGTAGGTAAAACTCGACGGTGTTCGACTTACCAAGATTATGGCATCCCCATATCTGAAGATGTTGCCCGTACGTATCGGATCCACCAGCGTTATCTAAGCACTGATTATCAGGACTTTTGATCATGCCGGTAGCGACGCAGTCCCTCTCTGCCGGCAGCGGCCATACATTCTCCAGAAAGTAATCAAAGGACTTGCACTGCAATTTTTGTTTAAGCTTCAGTCGCCCCGATACATCACCGGCGTCTACATCGATGGCTTGGGGTTTCCACTTATAGAAAAAGTCGAGATGTTCACCATCCAGCCACACCAGGGCGTTCCTCTTGTAGTTCTTCATCACCACCTGCACAAAGGAGTGTTTAAAACACAGCTATTAGCGAAATGGTTGGTACCAGGGCGCTCAATTATCGAGAATCAATACTTTATGATCCGACTATTCGCTACAAAACGTCAACGAATCATTACAACAATTGGCGGACACCGACCTTGAAATTTTGTTCATCGCCGCTGCCAAAGGAGTATGGATGTTTTGGTCTGAACACATGAGCCACCTTGCTGCAGGGACACAACCACTGCGTACCCCCACACAGCCATACTCTGAAGGAGAGGTCTATGTTTTCTCCTCCCCAGATATCCTGACCATCATCGTACATACCCAGTTCCACAAACCACTCCCTGTCGATTGCAAATAGACCTCCTGCCATAGTCGGGGTCCTGTACATGGAGTGGTGTCAATGAATTATCTAACAATTTATTCAAAAGTTAATAACTGGGCGTAATTACAGAATAGATATCAAGAAAACTTTAAATTAATGGTGCACACAATCCTTAACAACTCCCACAATATCAGATATCTTTCTCTAAATACTGGTTACCTGATATCAGCAGTGATAGGATAGGGGTCTTTAGCTCGTCTAGCCTGCTCCTCAACGGAGAGAGGGCTCCACAGCATGTTCAGGATCCAGTTCAGTCCCCCGGTCACTTCAACAACCTCCGGTGCGTGGATCTCCAGCCTCTGCCAGGCTGCAGTAGAAAGCGTTAACAGTGCAGAGATATTTTTATTTTAACCTAACAGAGTGACCCTCCCCAAGCGAACATTAAATCGAAATGACGAATAGAATAGAATTAACAAGTCCGACAGAAAGTTTACTTACATATACTGTCAATATTAGGAGTGGTACAAGCGGTCTTGTTCATATAGATGGGGTATATAAGGGGCTCCAGCCATCCATCATTGCACTCACAATGTGCATCTAGATACACTAGAATCTTACCCGTCGCTAGTTTTCCAGCAAACGTCTTAGCCTGATGAGTTTAATACGATTAACTTAATGTGACAAAATGTACGTCCGGAGTAACGATATATTTAACAATTATTGTCGACTGCCAACTTATTTTTATTTATATTAAATTTCTCTATCATAAATTGTTCATCAATAAGAGTGATTCTCACTTTGAGGATATCTTGATGCTTACCTTGATAAGACCGCCCCGGCCATGTGTAGAACGTTCCAGCCTTACTTTAGGGAGAGTTTTAATGTGTTTCGTGAACCACGATCCTTCAACCACCTCGTCTGCAAATTTAATCTTTATACTTAAACCGAAACTATTACATTGTATCGCTAAACCACGTGGAAATAAGATTGGAATCTCAAAATGAACCTTTTCGGAACATGATTATACTCTTATCTCGATCATATCATAATAACGGACATTATAATATAATAACGGACATTAATGTTATAATAACGGACATTAATGTTATAATAACGGACATTAAGGGGGCCAGGGGGGTGATGAAAACCCCCCGGCCCCCTTAATGTCTTGGAAAACAAAAAAGAAGAAGACCGTTACCTAGATCACTGTTGTCATCATACAACAATATCTCGTGTATAAGGTGAGGGGGAGATTTATTGAGCACAGAGTGCACTGTTCTGAGGACTACACTGGCTGCCTCGTTGTAGAACACCATGATTACACTGGCAGAGGGCATGTCATCAGGGTATTGTCGCTGTAAACATCTGTTAAAGGAACTGTGTTAGTGTGTGTGTGTGTGTGTGTGTGTGTGTGTGTGTGTGTGCGGGTGTGTGTGTGTGTGTGTGTGTGTGTGTGTGTGTGCGGGTGTGTGTGTGTGTGTGTGTGTGTGTGTGTGTGTGTGTGTGTGTGTGTGTGTGTGTGTGTGTGTGTGTGTGTGTGTGTGTGTGTGTGTGCGGGTGTGTGTGTGTGTGTGTGTGTGTGGTGTGTGTGTGTGTGTGTGTGTGTGTGTGTGTGTGTGTGTGTGTGTGTGTGTGTGTGTGTGTGTGTGTGTGTGTGTGTGTGTGTGTGTGTGTGTGTGTGTGTGTGTGTGTGTGTGTGTGTGTGTGTGTGTGTGTGTGTGTGTGTGTGTGTGTGTGTGTGTGTGTGTGTGTGTGTGTGTGTGTGTGTGTGTGTGTGTGTGTGTGTGTGTGTGTGTGTGTGTGTGTGTGTGTGTGTGTGTGTGTGTGTGTGTGTGTGTGTGTGTGTGTGTGTGTGTGTGTGTGTGTGTGTGTGTGTGTGTGTGTGTGTGTGTGTGTGTGTGTGTGTGTGTGTGTGTGTGTGTGTGTGTGTGTGTGTGTGCTCCTTTATAATATCTGCTTCGTATATTTCGGCCCTTTTTTGTTTCTTACTTTCTCATTCACCACTATTCCACAAACAGGAAGTCGGATAAGAATTTTTGTTCACACGTTAACATATTATTGAAACGAAACAAATAGTAGCTTTCTAGATCTACAAAGGAGGGAGTTCTCTCTCTCTCTCTCCAACTTACGTGGTGTGTCGGAAGTCCTTCATGGGACGGTTTATAGGTGTCCTATCACTGAGATATTTGTTGAACTGAAACTTGTCGATGAGCTGTTTTTCTTTGTCCTGAGGAAGGAAGATTGTTGGGGATTTGTACAATGAGCAATACATTGCTTCTAAGATTTATGGCATAATATCTTTTTCCGTGGAATCCTGGCGCGATTGTATTGTAGGCTCCAAAATATAGGAAAGCACCAAAAATAGCACATCCTTAAGAATGCTGAATATAGGATATAATATCGGTGACCTGTTATACAGCAGCAGAGCTATATTTAGATATCACCACTGAACTAGCTTTCAGATCAAACAAAGTTTTAAATTTATAACTACATAACACAAAACCGAGACAATATTTCTGACATATTGGGGTAACAAAGAGGAATAACAGCGCCACTAACAAGCCCTAACTGCACGCACCTTGTCATAAAATAAGTTATCTGGATTCTTGTCGTCCACGTAAACCGGCTGCCGGTGAACGTGGTCAATGTAGGCTGCACCCCACTTTACTTCACGTTTAAATCTGAACTTGTTTGTATCTACAAAATCTGGCTGAGGGTAATACAGAGGTATTATGATGAAGATAGTCAACACAGTTTGGTGGAATTCGTTAAAATTATATCAATCTGGTATAGATATGAACACACAATTTCTTAAAATAAAAGTTGTAGACCGAGAAAGTGGATAGAATTTAAAAACTTGTTTACCACTCATGCTTACCTCTCCAATGTGAATGTGAATAAATATGGCTTGTTCCCTAATAAATATAAAGTAAATAGCTAATAACACAAGCGCCGCTAATCCCACTCTTTTGTTTATCAACCTGAAATAAAGTTCATTCAGTCACCTACATCTGCACTGTTGTTAATATGTTAAATAACGTTATTCTATCGAATCTTTTAAACCTGTACCTGGTAATCACATCGTCCGGTACCCGAGATTGGTCAATGTTGAAGTGGTGAGAAAGTGTACCCGAGTCAATTTAGTTATTTAGGGTCTTACAAGTAGAATAATACCGAGAACTTGGGGACGATGTGAACGGGATTGTTTGCCAGGTACAGGAATAACACGATTATATCACAAATAAACATTACATTAATTATACATCAATTACTAAAAATTTGAAATCATGAGATTAGTAAGTTTAAGCCTAACTGTCATTATATAATTATATATAAATCAAATTAAGAATTGATTATCTGCTCACCTCGTGGGTTTAGAATAGTAATAATTAATATATCTGGTCATCGGGGAAACCAGGAGATGCAGGATCACTTTGATCTTAACCAAATCAACACCCATGATGCTTTGTAACAACTCAGTTTATTTGAACGGGAACTGGAATTTCTCTGTTTAAGATATCGAAGTTGGTGGTCTTCTCAGAATGTGTCCAATATCTAAATATCCGTCAGTTGTAATTCTTCTAACATGAGTAGGCGCAGGAAAGTGGTCCCATTTGAATGCTGAGGTGGAAGCCACGTTAAAAATATATAGAATTCATTTCAAATGAAAGCTTAAATTAATCATTTGAATCCAATAATCAAGCGAAAGAACAATGAAACATTGATTATGAAAAATATTTGGAAGGATTCCCCACTCTGCATTAAGCAGGCTCCTTAGCGGAGAAATGTACAAATTAATCACCCAAGAAACTATAGTCAAATGATGGTGATGTAAATAGTTTAAACGTGAACAACAAAACTACTGCAGAGCCAACATGCAGGTGCGGTAATATTTTGCAAATAGTGCGATTCCGCACCTGCCTAAACACTAAAACCTATTTATGTGCGGCAAATTTGGAGAAAAAACACCGCAATTAAGCTGAACAATTCGCAAAATTCGCAGGTACTATCAGGTTAAGGATTATTCAACAGCGTTTTAAATTAATTGAAGCACTACAAATCTATTACTTCTATTGAGAGTGTTACAGAAGGAATGTAGTATGAGTAGTCCTAAGAGGGCGCTTCTCTTCGATACAAAGGGAGAACAAAATTCGTCTGTTCTCTTGACTCATAATATATTTAATTTATGATTACTTGTATCTGAGATTCTGTGATTAAATTTATTTTGTTGATTATAATGAATTGATGTTGTGATTGCATAATTTATTGTAAATATATTATATTTCAGTATTATGTAACGCGATGGAAATATTTTAAGCGGGTAATATCCTGTCCAAACCCAGGATACATAACATGAAGACTTTGTTGTAACTGTGTATGAAAAGCATTAATTAACATTAATATAAGGTCATATTCTTTCACTGAGAGTAGGATTCGTGGTAATTCAAGATGTATGAATCTTAGAACCGCCCTCATCTTAGAGGGTTTACAACAGTTTCGTAATGAAAAGCATTTGATCCTAATAACCATAGTTGAGGGCATGTCGAATGTCGATCTCATTGTACACATCGATACCAAATACACAAATCTGATAACGAATAACGGCCGATGGTGCGAAAAAGTGCGGTATTAGATCTATTGTGCGATTCCGCACTTATTATATGGTGCCTCTGATCTACTATTCTTGTTTTACGAAGATTTCCAGAAAATATGACATTAACAGTACTTGTCACGACTGGTAACTACTGGTAACAACTGATAACTACTGGTAACAACTGGTAACTACTGGTAACTACTGGTAACTACTAGTCAGGGACGAAACGGAATCTCGTTAGCTTTTCGTGTTAAAAGCGATTTCTCAACGGTTATCACCTCTCTAGATGATTCTTAAAACATTTGGACTTCATTGCATTTTTGAAATAAATGCAATGAGGGCGTTTTCGGCCACACCCTTTTTCAGGGTTTCGCGGTCACTCGAATTTTTGTATATCAGCTCAGGAAGGTCTAAAAGACTATTCTGATACACCAAAATGTGCCTAATAGCCACATTTATATACAACTTATGAAGCAACATATACCTTAAAATGCTTCGTTTCGGAATTATGGCCGAAAAACGGTTTTTGGCTTGACGCAGTTCATAATTTCCGTGATTTTTGGCATTTCCGCCTAGGAAGGTCGTAGAGACTATTCTGATATACTAAAATGTACATAATGGCCACATTTATGTACAACTTATGAAGCAACATATACCCTAAAAGGCTTACTTTCGGAAATGTGGCTGAAAAACGAATTTTTGCCGAGCGAACAAGACAGTATTCACAAATGGGCTATTGGACTGTTAACTAAAAAGGTCTTAAAGAAGACTCATGAGGAACATAGCATTTGTCACAAGATGTAAGATGACTCACTTTGTGTCCAGAAACACTCACAAAAATTGTAGAATAATCTACTTTATTGGGCATCTCTCTTAATGGGCCAGGACAGCAGCATATTTTTGTCTTACGAAAGGGCAATTTTTCAAAATTACGGTTTCTTTAGTAAAGGTCAAAGTAAAGGTCAAAGGGTCAGTTGCTAACAGCAGATTATTTGCAATTGCCGACTCATGCACATCATATACTCAAACTTTAGGAGTCATTAGTAAATAAGTTTAACTATACTGCATGATTTGTGAAAACTCCAACAATTTTTCATTGGCACCAATTTAGCCAAAATGTAATGACCAAAATTCAAAGTTTTTAATTTATTCATTCCATAAAACCATATTGTTGCTTGACCGCTGACCAGTACCCCACTTTATAATTATAATTGACTTCACTGCCTCGACCAATATTGGTCTGTAATCCCTGGATTGAGATCTGTTGGCTGCAGTTTAATTTAGCTCATTTACCATTTAAATAGTAATACCGCAGTGGTTTGGTTCGCATAGATTTTCCCATCGTATGATAATGTGTGTCATTCCCTCGTTTTTTAATCAAGTGGTTACTAGCTAGCTCTTTTGTTATTACAGCTGCCTCGAGATCTTATCTAGGGCACTAATGCATTAGTACTAGAACACTAGAACTGTAATTCTAGAACTTCAGATTAAGATTACTTGACTGAATGGCAGGGTTCGAGAGTCGACTCTAAAACTCTCAGTTTAGGAGTGATTAGTAGATGCATGATGTGCGAAAACTCCAACTAGACAAGGATCATGCTTAATCAAAGTGTTCCTCGACTTGAACTTAAGTCTCGTAAGCCCAAACTGGAGTTTGGGCCACTGAATCGAATACAACCTGATATTAATTTTAGGATTTCGGGAAATTCATTCAGATTTTTATTCTTTGGTTTTTCAATTGTGCTACGAATCCGAGTTTGAGTTGATAACACCGAATTTCCTGTTTGACTCTCAAAGAGAGGAACCAAGGCGTAGGTTCCTCTTTTTGGCTCTGAGATCCAACTTTAAGATCGGACTTCGGAGATCATTGCGTCGGAGATCATGTAAGTGTAAAATCAGTACCGGAGATCAAACTTTTTTGCTTGATATTGGACCTATAAATCTAATGATATATTCGAAACAGCACGGGATTTAACCAAGGTTAATTTAGATAATATATACCAGCTTTCGGGGTTACAAGACCCCACGAAAGGCAGGCAGAGCATCCTAAATCCTCATGCTATCCTCACGTTGACCATCTAGGTCCATACCCCAGCCTCTCATTAGAAAACAGCTACTAGGCCCGATATCCGTCCCTTGTCCCGTAGTACTAGTGCCCCGTAAGTAAGAGATCGTTCAGATTTTGGTCATTTAGACCCCCTCCCCGCTCTAAAATCCACTTTAGCACTTTACCCAAAGCTGGAAAAATTTCACATGTGAAACCTAAATAGCTAAATCAGCATCTCGAGACCTTCTATTATATAAACCCCGTGATCCTACTATAAGCTTATAACTTATAAGGCATTGCATGCCGAAATTAAGATCCACCTCAACTGGTGATATGAACATGGTATGTTACCTGAATGCCCTCAGTTAAATCTCGAACCCTGCTAATGCTATTCTGCCAAGTAACCTTAATATGAGGTTCTAGAATTACAGTTCTAATGTTCTTAGTTAATGCCCATGCCCCAGATAAGATCTCGAGGCAGCTGTAATAACAGAAGAACTAGCCAGTCACCACTTGATTAAATATGGGGTCATTCTGAAGTGAGAACCAAACCACTGCGGTATTATAGGAAATTAACTAAATTAAACTGCGGCCAACAGATCTCAATCCAGGGATTACAGATCAATATTGGTCGAGGCACTTAAAGTGGGGTACTGGTCAGCTGTCAAGCAACAATCTGGCCCGGATCCAGTGCCGATTTATTTTAGGTGCGGTATTCTTGGTACATATATCATGGTTTCATGGCATGAATATAAATAAAAAGTTTGAAATTGAATTTTGGTCAACAACGTTAATGTGGCTCTAACTATGTGTTGGTTCAGCCGAATTAATTATTATTTTTAATCAAGTTTATTTTTCTCGTTAGTTGTCATCCGGCCAAACATTAAGCAACTTATATTGCAGTACCATTCATCAATTTGTATATCAAAATATGTCATTGTAATTTTGCATGGCTGAAATGTAACGCTTGATTTATATATATAATGATTAATTGAATTTTCAAATAAAATAAAAAAAAACACATTTTATTTAAATTGGTGCCAAGGAAAAATTGTTGGGGTTGTCACAAATCATGTAGTAGTTATTTACTAATGACTCCTAAAGTGAGCGTTTTTGAGTATATGATGTACATGAGTCGGCAATTGCGAACAATTTGCTGTTAGCAGCCGATCCTTTGACCTTAAGAAACCGTAATTTTGAAAAATTGCCCTTTCGTAAAACACAAATATGCTGCTGTCCTGGCCCATTAAAGCATTAAGAGCAGTGGTCGACCGGGGCCCCAGCCCCGGTCCCGGCCCCGGCCAAAATCACAACCCCCGGCCCTTCCCGGCCCCGGCTAAAATTTGGCAATTCGCCGGGGGTAAACCCCGGCCCCGGCCCCGGCCAATATATCTACCCCCGGCCCCGGCCAAAAACCATGCATTTACCGGGGGCACAGCCGGGGATTTCATGAATGATTTTGGCACATTTTCGAAAAAAATCAAACACAATTTAATGGTTATTATGAGAATTCAAAGTTATTTTTTCAAAATTTTTTTAAATATTTTCAAAATTATTATCAAATTCACGTTTCAATTTCTGACTACAGTTTGGTAAACTACCCCTGGCCCCGGCAAAATGGAAGATTTCCCGGCCCCGGCCAATTCTCAGTGGCCAGCCCTGGCCCCGGCTATATTGGGGCTCCCCGGCCCCGGCCCCGGTCAGAATCCTGCCCCCGGTCGACCACTGATTAAGAGAGATGCCCAATAAAGTAGATCATTCTCCAATTTTTGTAGGTGTTTCTGGACACAAAGTGAGTCATCTTACATCTTGTGAAAAATGCTATGTTCCTCATGAATCTTCTTTAAGACCTTTTTAGTTAACAGTCCAATAGCCCATTTGTGAATACTGTCTTGTTCGCTCGGCAAAAATTCGTTTTTCAGCCACATTTCCGAAAGTAAGCCTTTTAGGGTATATGTTGCTTCATAAGTTGTATATAAA